TAACCATATAGCATATTGCTTTCTTCCAGCTTATTTCATAAACTATCACTTTCATTATAATACAAGACCACCCACCAACCAAAAAATACTCCAGTCTGAATTTTCCCCTATTCAACTGCATGGGATTTTTTAATCCAACAGATGAACTCATTTGAACTATAAGCATATGTCTAGTCAAAATGCTTTAGAACCAAAGAGTTTTGCTTCTTCAGAACATTATTAATTACCTCTGAAGGACTTGCTAAATTTCATTTGCTAATAGCTAGATACCATATGGGAGAAAACTACAAACTATTTCCGCCTCCTGACATATCAATGGATTTTAAAATCTATTCAACCTTGCCACAGGAAGAATTTTTAATACTTTCACATGCAGCTACATTTACAAACTTGGATATTTTCTAAACTCTACATTGCAGTCTAGTAGATCAGGCCAACTGCAATTAACTTAAACGTCAAAAACACTGTAATCTGCATGGAAATCAAAAGGTTCAAAAATGTGACAATCTGATTTTTCTAAAACAAATGAGAATTACACAAAATACTTAAAGCAAATCAAGGTACCTAAGGCAAATCCGTATTCATCTATTATGCTGTGTTCCAGCTTCTTTTTATAAAGGCACCAGAAACAAAAAACTAACACTCAGGTATCCCTATAAAGCAAATTATCTATTTAATTAGTACTACAAGATTAACACACACTCACACTCTGGGGTAAACCACCTCTAGATTTACATTAGCCACCCTAAAGGCAATGAAAAGACACTCCAGATTCTAAACTGGAGAGATTTCCTTTATAACAGATCAGTCAACTAAGACTTCATGAGCAGTATTTTTGAGCTGCATCAAATAAATAATATGAATATGAAGACCAGATAACAAGAACAGAAAAAAAAGAATGTTACTATAATATTCATATACAGCATCTACATAAAATTTTATCTGAACAGACAGATGGTAGCTAAAGTTTGTAAGCAGGCTCCACATTTGATTCCCTTGCTATAAATAGAAGCCTAGGCTGTAGTGGCCAAGGTTATATCAGGCTAGACACACCCCAGTTTCCTACGTCCACCATGAAGGCCTCCTAACTTTGACATGCAAAGCATTACCTTTGTAATTGTGCAGTTGATTTGTGTACACAAAGTTAAAACACTACCTAAACATGCTACATTGTAGCAATTCAAGTCACTAGGTCAAACTCTGTGTGCTTGCACACATTACTGGTTTTTATATTGGTTTAAGCTTATTTTACTTTGTCTTGCACAGCAAACCTAATTGCAATGGCTTAACATCAGTTCTTGCCTATATAAGCAGAAATGACCTTATATTAAATGCAGACACCTCATATGCTGCCATGTTTTGCCTTCCTTATATGTCCAAGAGGACTGGAAAATCCACTGCTCAATGTCGAGTGCTGTTCCTGAACAAATATGCAATTCTTTAGCTTTAGTGACCAAAACTCCTACAGGGACCTAACTCACAAACAAGACAATTTACTCTCAAATTCTACCGTTAAAAGTAGTAAGTAGGGTACACAGAAATGAGATTGTTACTCCCTCAGGGCTTGCATCTGCTTACATTGCAAATTAAACAGCATTTTTCATTTCTTCTTTATTAAACCAGATTTCCTCAAGAAGAAAACTGTTTAAAATAAGGAAAGACATCTGTGAAAGCTATACACTCTGGGATGAGTGTAGCATCACGAGTAATTTTAATATTCACCCTAAAGCAGTTCCATTTGTGTGTGCTCTGTTAAAATCCTGCCACTAAGAGGAGCCCTAAGTCTATTCCACAATGAACAGTGGAAGAAGTAGTATCAATTTTTTTCCTATTTCTCAAGATCATGGGAAACTCTTACTTGAGTGATGCTGAGGAAAGCAGAATCACCACAAGCTGAAGAAGAACTGATAAAGAATCACTTCAGCAGTAGCAACTTGAAACCATTGAAGATTACTGAAAACAAAAGGAGGAAAAAAAATCTGACATTGGGGTAAGTCTATCAGTAAAAGAGTCCACCAAAAAAGAACGAATAAATGATGAAGGCAGATTGCAAAAGAAAGTTAAGGCGAGAAAAGCATAAGAAACAAGAACTGAAGTCACCTCAAGGCCTGCAGCAGGAGAACGGTGATTAGAGACACAAAGAATTGGAGTCAAGGCAACAACATTCAAGAAACAGAAAAAGCAAAATTAATTAAATCTCTGAGCAGGAATGCAAAAAGAGAAGGAATCTTAATATGCTGAGTGAGTGATACAGAGTTTTAGCCTGTAAATCTGCAAAAACAGGAAAATAACCAAGGAAAATGTTTTTAAACTTATCTTCCTAGTGTTTTCTGCTAGGTATGCCACAACTTAGAATTCAAGAGCATACCATCTCATCCAGGTTAAGACTGTCAAGACAGACTATTCCAGGAAGTTTGTCAGAAGAGAATCCTCATTCAAGCATTCCAAACTGTCATCTAGTGAAGCCTTTAGCTACCTGGTGAACCAACAGGAACACAAGGAGCTCCAGAAAACACTCAATTTTGAAGTAAAATTTGAAGTTTACTGGCTAGGTATCACCTTCATCCAGTAAGTGGTTGAACTGATCTTTCCTTTCACCATTGAGTACATATGAGAACAAAGGAGGGTTTAATGAGGTACCCGATTCTTCCTCTTCTGACCAGGCACTTCAGTCTTGCCTCCAGTAGGTCAGAATACAAAAGACCTTTGACTTTGACAAAACCCTGCCCTGTTGTATTCATCCAAGCACTACCACATTCCCTGATCTACAGCTAAGGTGGCAAAATGAACTGCAGACCGGGAAATCACATAAAAATGCGTCCCTTTTACTCAATCTGTTCACTTTGCCTTATCTGCTCACATGCTGTCCCAAAGCATTTTGACTTCACGGCTAGCTGTGTTAGGCCAAGGCTGCTAGCTGGAAGCTGACAGGTACTGCCACCCGTGCACTGTGCCTTATCAACTTCCCTGAAGGCTGGCACTCGGCGCAAGGGCAAAAAGATTCACATGAGCGTCCTACAAAAAAGGCACACCCACATCAACAAAGCCACCGTGCCCAACCCTGGCGGACTCGTCGCTCAGCCCGAGGTCCGAGCCGCAGCCAGGGACGGAGGCAGGCGGCGCAGGAGGCGGCATGGGCCGCACTTACTGCCCTAGCTCGGGGCGGCTGCGGGCCGGGGCCGCTCCCGGCACGGCCCGGGCACAGCTCCGCGGCCCGCGGGGCCGCCCTCACCGGCAGGTGCCCGCCCGCCCGCCCCGCGCTCACCCGGCCTCCCGCATGACGTTGCTGTCGCCGCAGTCGCAGGCGCCCCCCGCCTGGCTCCGGAACATGTTGTAGTCGTGCCCGGCGTGCTCGCCCTGGTGGAAGCACTCGGCGCAGAGGCTCATGCAAGGCGAGATCCCGCACGTCCGGCACCGGTAGGCCACGAAGTTGGCGGTCCAAACCAGGCCGCATAGCGTGGCGGGGTCGTAGGCCCGCACGGCTTGCACGAAGCTGTCCCAGGGCTCCCCGCCCGACAGCAGGCAGCGGCACCACTCCAGCGCCTCGCCCGCCGCCTCGCCGCCGCCAGGGCCCGCCGCCGGAGCCAGCACCCGCTCCAGCAGCGCCCGCAGCTCCGCCGCCGCCGCCGCGCCGCTCTCGCCGCCCAGCGCCGCCTTCAGCCGCGCCGCCGTCGCCCGCTTGTCCCTGCTGCTGGCGCCGGCCCCCGCCATGACGGGACACCGAGGGACCGTTACGGCCGCCCCGGGCCCCGGCTCCGCGATCCCTCCGCCGCCCTCGCTCCCCGCCCCGCGGCGCCGCCCTCTCGCGATAGCCGCGGCACCGGCGCCCTGCCCGCCGCCCGCGCGCCCCTCCCGACACCGCCTCTCCCCTCCCCTGACACCACCCTCCTCTTCCTCCGCCCCTGCCCTCCCGCCGCCCTCCCAGCGCGCAGGTGCGCGCCCCGCGCCGCCGCCACACGGAATGTCGCCGCCCGCCGGCCCGAAACTTCACGGTCCCGGCGTCCCGGCAGCCGCGGGGAGCGCGGAGGGTACACCTAGGCCGGTCGGCGGCCCCGACGGCAGCGGAGCTCGTTTGTTACCGAGCCGTGCCTGCAGCGAAGCGGCTGCCGTGAGAGGCCCTGCGGCCGCCCGTGTATCCTGGCCACAAGGATCTCGCCGGGCTCAGGTGGTGGTGGTGGCGGCGGATTTGGGGAAAGAAGCAACTGCGGGGAGTGTGGAAGGCACCTCTGAGGCTTCGGGCCGGTGGTTCTGCCCTCGCTGCCATCGAGCGGGGGTGCTGGGGGTGCCGAGCAGCGCCGGGCTCCGGCAGCAGCAACGCACCCCGGGGTGTCCGCAGAGCCGCGTCCCGAGGTACCGGCGTCCTGCTACCAGGATAGAACGCACGTGGATGCGAGTTACCGTGTTTCGCACACCGATCAGCGGTTTTAAACCTCGATAAATAGATTTTCAACTGTGCAATGGAAAGCCTTATACGAAAAAATCTATTCCTAAATGAGAATAACCTGACAGCTACGGGCCTCAAGGCAGCTGCCTCTCTTCTGGCTTTGCCTGCGTTTCCTATAGCTGCCCGTCTGCTGGCGGCTTGTGTCGCGTTGCGGTTCCAGGTGAATGTTACTCTTCTCTCCATTACCCCTTTTCCCAGCCCACCAGCAAAATTCCAGTTCCTTGTTCTGTCCCTAAGGGCACTTAGGAGCGGGACCACCGAGAAAGCCCGGTCTGCCAGGTGTGTCCCGCGGCGCTTTCTCAGGCACCGCTCAGCCGTGACACGTAAGGCTGCAATAAAATGTCTCGTGTTTATAATACATGAGACCAAAGCTCTTAAATTTTAACGACACGCGGGAAGTTCGCTGGCGTTTCGTTCCCGCAGGTGCCCATCAGCCCGGGAAGGGGCGGGGCGGTGCGCGCCGGGGCGGTGCGCGCCGGGGGCGGGCGGCGCGTCGGAAGTGCGCGGCGGCGCTCGGAGCGGCCCGGCCCGGCCCGGCCGAGCTGCGGTGAGTGGGCGCGGTACCGAGCGAGCGCCGGTGGAGGGGACGGCGCTATGGGCGAGCCGACGGTGCAGGCGGTGGCGGTCGCTGGGGCTCAGCTCCTGCCCCGCTTAGGGCTGAGCGGCGGGCGGGCCTGAGCGGTAGAAACGGAGTCCCGGGCCCGAACTCCGGCAGCCGGTGAGAAGGGCTGCCCTCGTTCCCCATCATCGATGCCCCGCCAGCTGCGTCCCGAGAAACGGCAGCGTGAAAACGCCCGGGAGAGGCTGAAGAGTACCAGGGGATTTTAAGTATGAAATAATTTAATATTATACGTAGTTTATTTATATTGTTGTAACTGATTACACGTTATTTTCTTTAGTTAAAACATAAACATGAAGAAATTGAAGCTTAAAGAACTAGAAAGCTGTCTTCAACAAGTTGATACTTTTGAAAATCCAAAACTACTCCTTGAACAGTATCCAACAAGACCTCATATTGCAGGTAGAGGTGACCCACACCATTGTTTTCTCTTTTACTAGTTCATCACTTTTCATTCAAAAAGTTTTTTCTACTGCATTGTCTCCTTTGCAGGCTTTATAGTAAAAGTAGTTAAGAAAGTATATCCAACAGGAATGTGTATAGTAGTATTCTGGTAATGCCTGTCTTTGTTTGAAAAATGCAACCTAAGACAATGTCCAATCCAAAAATCAAATAAATTAATCTAATAGATAATGTTGTGATAGAAGCAATCTGAAGCTGAAATGGAGTTATGTCATGACCTGCAAAACCAGTAAAAGTATATATTCACTTTAGTGTATATACACTATACACTCATCTATACCTTAATTATGCTCCTTTCCATATTTTAAATCCTTATATTGTTTTTCCCCCAAAAAATTTAGAGGCATACTTTTTCCACAAGCAATACTCAGAGTTCTGTCTCTCCACGAAAGATCCACAGTCTGTAACTCGTCAAAATATTTTTGATTCTTCACATATACATGGAAAAGAGAATTACAGGCAGTGAGAACATCAGTTTAAGTAAAGGGGGTTTATAATGCAAAATTAAGAGTTTTCTGAAGGCAGAAACAGCTTTTCTTGACTAATCATGTACATATTTGGCATTATTGACCTGTTTTGTTTGGGATTTTTTTCCCCCAGCATGTATGCTTTATACAATTCACAATACTTTTGATGATATTGAAAACAAAACAATTGCAGATTTAGGATGTGGTTGTGGCATGCTCAGCATTGGAAGTGCAATGTTAGGAGCAGGGTAAGTATTTCATATTAAGTTATGTTATATTTCTTTCTGTCATAGAAAAGTAGAAAGTAAGAATAAAGAGTAGCAATGCTGAACTAAAACATTTCAGGTTTATAATGTGGTACCAAGTTTCAACCATCAATAACCATTCATACCATGAAAGTGATGGACATCTGTCATGAATTTGGAAGTCATTTGCTTCCCCATAAGCATTACATGAACACATGAAACTTCCTTAACAAATTTAGATATATACTTGGGAAAGGGCAACAGAAGTACTTGAATTTTTATCAGCACTGAATTTATTATGTATGCTTGTTACATTTCCTAGATAAAACAAGTTGTGTATACTTACTGTAGAATTTAAACACCATTGTAGTTTGTAGTAGACTAATATGTGACACTTTTCTTAATAGATTCTGTGTGGGGCTTGACATAGATGCAGATGCACTGGAAATATTTAATAGCAATATTGAAGACTTTGATCTCACGAATGTCAACATGGTTCAGTGTGACATCTGTTCTTTATCTGACAGCATGTCAGATACTTTTGACACAGTTATTATGAACCCTCCTTTTGGTACCAAGCATAACAAAGGTTGGTAATTGTGAAGCTCAGTTAGAAATTAACACAAATGAAACAGCAAAGAAAACGCCTTCAGTGAAACATCTCCCTTCTTTATTAGTTGCATATTCTAATTTCTTAATGTTTTGTTTATCTGGAATCAGCTTCCTAAGATTAGCAACCTCAGCATTGTAACTAACAGTCACTGGGGCTTGAAATAAACAATACTAGATATTTCAAATCCCTATCATTTTTATTTTATTAAAAGCAATCGAGTATATTGTAGAAATACTTTCTGTACCTTAATGTATTCCGTGCTGTTTCTCAAGTAGCTATTATTCCAGAAAAAAATTAAGCAGGTCTTTGAGCTTTCATTTAACAATTCTAATAGTTTCATTATTCTTTTAGGAATTGATATGATTTTTCTGAAAACTGCTCTACAAATGGCAAAAACAGCTGTATATTCCCTTCACAAAACTTCAACACGACAGGTAAGTTCTTCATTTTAGTAGGGCAAGAACTAACCAGACAACAAAATATTTGGCTATATAGAGGTCTGTAGCTTCACTGATTTGCCAACTGCTTTGTGGGGTATGTTTGGGATAAATACTATTTACATCAAATAACTGCAATCTCACATACATCAAGATAATTACGTGATTTAATGCTTTGGCTTGAAAATGAAAAGCACAGGAGACTGATAAAGTCCAAAGGCGTAGATGTTTATAAAAGATAATTTTAAAAGCTCATTTTTACACTATCTACTATTGTAGCACATCCAAAAGAAAGCAGCAGAATGGGAAGTGAAGATGGAAGTCTTAGCAGGTAATATTTATTTTTAACAGAAAAAAAAATTATCTCTAACACTACCAGGCAGACATAACAGCCCAAAATAAATTTAAGTGTGCTTTAGGACAGAAATGACACAGGTCTTTCTCTTTTTAGCAGACTTTTTAAATTCTTTTTTTAAAGTTTTTGCTACCTGGCTAGAATACAAGCAGGCGCTTAATAAAGCTCTGAGAAATATATATTCTGTGCAGAATTAGGTTTCTTCCTGCACTAGATTTTGTCTTCAAGCACAAATTACCTCTCTTCCTGCTTCAAAGGGAGTGTTGCTGAAAAAGAAAAATGAAGCACAGGTCAGTTCTCACACACACAAAAAAGCATCCTGTCCTTAGCCACCTAAATATTTTTGCCATTTAAGTATCTTCCCAGTTCTTCTGCTAAGCAGATGCCTGATGCTTTTACAGTCATAAAACTAGAGATGTGAAGTTGCACATGTGCTCGAAACACAACTGCATTTCAGCAATCCACTTAACTGTCTGATGTGTACAGCTTCAATGTTTAGTCATCATGTAGTGCAGAGATAAAACAGGTATGACAGGCCACAACAGATGCAGGCATGAGAAACAGAAGTACATGGCTGTTGGGCTTAAGTGACTTGATTACCATCCTAGTCTAACATTTATCTTTTATACTGTTCACAGAACTTAGGTTTGACTTACCAGCATCGTACAAGTTCCATAAGAAGAAATCAGTAAGTATAAAATGTAACATAACGGAGAAAATGCTGAGGTAAATAAATTCTCCTTAATGGAATTTAAGTTTTAGGGCCATATATACTGGATGAAGAATGGTCACAGCATTTAGTCACATCACTGCTGTTACTCCATTTTGTGGCTGAACAGGGAAAAGCATCATGATCATTCCAGTCAAAAGCTATGCACAAAGATTAAAGCCAGCACTGCAGTTAGATGTGATAAAGCTACAGGTAGCCTCCTTGACTTGACTCCTAATAGCTCTTTGCTCGGCCCTATCTGCAGCTCAGACTTGAGTGAATGCATGCTGAAGGCCACAGTAACAAGGATGTTACAGCAGTAGCATTATTTCAGAGCCAGCCTGGGGGCAGCAGGAGGAACTCATGCACTTCATCCCACGGTTAAAAGACACAGTCAAGACACTATAGTATGGCAGCCCAAGCCCACAGCGAGTTCCTTGCTACTAAATGCTAGCCTGGAAGCCATGTATCACCACCCTTTACCATAAGGAAAGTAGAGAGAGAGGAGAGTGAGCAATAGTTGAACAGGAGCTTTAATCAGCTGCTGAGTATGTTCTTGGTGACTTGAACTTAAAATTACTTAAGTCTGTTCTTATCTTTGCTACTTCACAGTTGAAACATTATACTGTATTAACCAGGCTTCAGTAGAAAGCAGTTTTAAGTTCTGAATTTATTGCCAGCTGCTATTAAACATAACCACAAGATTACAAAGTCCAAACCTTTTTACATTTGAATAAGGTGCCAGAAAAAATGAGATCTGACAGAATAAACAAAACTATAAACAGAAAAGCTTTCCAGGGTTTTATGTTAGCAGTAAGCATGCTTCTTGAACAAAAAAAGCTGTAACCCAATAAAATATCACTTTTTTCTAATTGTAGGTTGACATTGAAGTGGATTTCATTAGATTTTCTGCCAAAAAAGTCCTGAACTGAGGCATGTATTTAAAATCTATTGAAAATGGAACAATAAAACCACTATTTTTTAAAATTCTTTTTATTTGAGTATTACTGATTGCCATCTCCATTTTCTGTTTTCAGTTGTTTTGGTGGAGGTTCTTCCTTTTCTGTTTCTTCTAGTGGTCTCTTCTTGGGACTTGCTGGTTCTGCAAGATTGAATATGTAGTCATTTAGGGTAAAGGAAAGCTTTGCCTGAAATCTGAAAAAACCCAAACTCTTCCCACCATCTAAGTTTCAGTTCCAGTTATCTAAAGCCACAGCTACACTAGAAGGTTTGTTTATTACTGTGACTAAAGCTTTTAGATGTTCTAAAATGCCCCTCTTCACCCCTAACTCCACAGCAGGAGGGCAGGTAAGAAAATGAAGGAGTACAGTCTACCAGGAGTAGGGTTCACTGGGTTTTACTTAAGCAGGTGCTATATGTAATGAACAGAAGCCTAGCTCTTCCTCTGCTCCAAGCTAAATACTGACAGGCTGAACTATTAAATCTTCTCATATCCTTAAAGGCAAAAAAAACCCCACCACTCAAGAGACTGACTCTGTACAGTTGTGTAATGCTGCTGACAATCACCATGTGTCAATGCATATGTTTTAAACAACCATGCAGAATAGCCTTATCTATATACTACTACATTGAGAATTACTATCTATCTAGTAGTTATCTTAATAGGATTTTTGGACAATTGTGGAAGGAATCGAGCACAAGACTCCTAAGGCAGATACTGCCAGGAGGGCAGAAATGCTACAAAGCAGAGCCAAATCGGAAACATTGTAAAAAACATGAGTATGTGGAGCGACTTTCTGTAAAAGTACTAAATAAGCTGCATCAAATGCACAGAATGACATACCTGTAATCGTATCATTTTCACCATCTTCTTCGTCATTCTCAAACTTTATTTTCTTGCCCTGAAACTGTACTTTTCCTTTTTGTGCACCCTGAGATATCTTTCCCCCTCTTCCTTTTCCTTTAATTTTGCGCCCTGTGGAGATACAAGATCAGGAACTTTGTATCATTTGTCTGTTAACTGGCCAGCTGCAGAGACTGCTTTACACTTAAGGTCAGTATGTAGTACATATCGACTATTTAAGAGTGAATTTTATCCACCAATTCTAGGACATTATAAGGAATTAAATTCATAAGAGGAGGGACAACCTTTTGTTTTCTGTTTCAGCAATTCCTGCTGATCATCCAGGATTTTTTTCAGAGCTTCTTTCTCTGCATCTCCTTCTAGCACTTCCCATGCAACATCCTTGTTCCGAAGCTGCAAGTTCCCATTATGTGCTGCTTTGGCTTTTTCCAGAGCTTCTTTGGCAATATCCTTAAATAGGATAATTCCCTTTAAAAGAAGAGTGGCATTTGCATTTTAATCTTACTGTAAAATCATTCAGCTAGAACAATGAAGAATATATCCTGTTGAGTGCCTCAGCAAATTCATTACTCTTGTATGTAAAACATGTCTAGACTGAAACAAAGCCCACAGACTGTGCTAATGAACATTCTTTGTTTCGACCTTATCCACTAACAAGGCTGGAACCTTTCTCTCTTCTTCTGAAAGAACTTAAATTTAAAATTTAAGTCTCTAAATATTCTGCAATTTCACAAAACAATAACTGACTTGATAACATACAAAACATTTAATCATTCCTTTTCAAACTTCAACACAGAGATCTTAAGTTCTTTTCTAAGATTACTGACCTCCTTTGCACCTCTAACAAAGTGTATCCACTTGATTTCTCCGTGACCAGAAAACACAGCATGGAGGTCTTCTCTGCACGTTTGGTCATCTAGATCACCAGAAAACTTCAAAAGACATCCTGTCTTTTCTTCCAGAGATTTCTAAATAAAAATTAAAAACCTCCACATTATCATTGAAGAGTCAAGTTTGAATATTCATATTCCCCCCTCAATCCTATTAAGCATGACAGCAATAAATAAGCAGTTGAAGTTACAGTAATTCAAGCATTTTTCCTACATAACCTAGTTCTGCTGATGTCCAAGTCTTGTACAGTGTGGGTCCCCTCCTTGGAGTTTTCTTTGCTTACTGTGATACACTTATATGGAACTTAGGACTCCCTTCCCATATTAATTACACTCTTTAAATTTTACAAAACAGCCTTCTGAAGGCTGATAGTTGGAAAATTTATATAATATTGATGAAATCCTTAATGGATCCTTTAAATACCATAGAAGAACCATTATCTCAATGATGTATCCAGTAACACTCTGAACAGGCAAACATGACTAATAACATAAATTCAGGACATGAGCCTTTAAACAAAATGAGTCTATTGAAAATAATATTAAAACACCATGACAAAACAGTCTTACTTTAAGTTAGTTAGAAATGGTGAAGTGACTTTCTAGAAAGTGCTCTATATTATATCATTTCAAACAGACTATTCCATGTTAGCTTTATAAAATGTAGGTGATATAAGAAACCCATACCATTTCAGCATCTGCTGCTTGTTTCTGCTTTTCTTCTTTTTCCCTGCAAAAAAGTTAAATTAGTTATGAGTCAGTTCAAGCATGGTCAGGCAAGCAAGACACAGACTTTGATTGGCAATGACTTACTGTTTAGCTCTTGCTTTCGCTTCTACTTTGTTTTGTTTCCTTTCTTCATTCTTCTTTGTACAATACTCCTCCCTTCAATAGAATGTAAGTAAATTTAAAAAATTTTGTTATAATAATTTTGTAAGACAGCAGTAGATGTGAAACAGTTGAAATTATTTTTCCAAGTTGAGATGCTAAGTCTCAGTCTCCGAAAGGTGAATCTATCAATGTACAACAGCATGAAAAACTCACTTCAGAGGTCAAGCCAGGTTCTTGTGTAAATCCACCCTGACTACTGTTAGTTCATATATCAGTTAAGAGGACTTACTTGAAAAGTACTATCAGCTCTGTGTCTTTGTATTTTTGATTTGGTATTTCTGTGAACTTCTTAGCAGATTCAACACTATCAAAAACTGCAAATATTGAACCCTGTTAAATGATAAGAGATATTGTTAGAGTAATTGAACAGAATGTTGTCCAGGAGGGATCCCTGTCCCTGGTCTAAATGCTCGTCATTACCTTAAACGTTCTCTGCAACGTTCTCCTCATTTGAATATTTTCAACTGGACCTTTATCCTCAAGCCATTCTTTGATATCATCAAGAGTAGCATCTAGTGGAAAGCCTTTCTGCAAGACAGCAATGTGCTTCAATTTTATGCCACAAAGTGACTCTTAAAAATTATAACCTCTGTAGTACAAGTTAATTCAAGCTTTACTCTCAAATGGTTATCAGTTAAAGTCATGCAGGACAGCACAAAGTAAAGAAAAATTTACTTACAACATATACAGATCTGTTTTTAATTGCAGCCTTATACTGGTCATTTAATTCAGGAAGGGGTTTATTTGGAGATCTTCTGATTTTAGTTTTGTCTTCATTTATTTCCATTAAACCAGTCTTGGATTTTCTCAGTGCTTCTACAATAACACCAAAATCTTTTGAAAGGCGACTTAACCTATTGAGTAAGCAGACAGAAGTTATTACAAATACACAGGCAAAACTGAAGCCAGATGTTAAAAAAGAGATGGGGAATGTAAATGCACATCAGGAACACTTGGCCCCAGATAGAGATAGGTAGCTGAAAGTTACTCTTTTATCCATATTAGTTGTATTTTGCTTTACCTGTTGAATTTGATCATTACTTCTAAAGGTACCCAGCCATCATCTAGTTTGATCTGTTCCTTTAGAAACTTGTCTCTTGGTAGATTGTGATTGCCAAAATAGTACTGCAAAAAGGAAAGGGGAAGGGGAGGAAAGACGGATGAGTCTTTAAATTTTCAGTCTTATACGCTCACTTTCATCGAACAGCTTACTGCAGTAGACTGAGACATAACAAAATTAATTAATGAATCTGAACAATTGGGAATTCTGAAATTATTACTTCCTGCTTTGATGTGATACTTTGTAAAAAGTTAGCTGCAATGTGTAAGCTGTAAAAACCACCAAAAACAAATCCCACAAAAACCCCAACAAACCAACCCCATACCTAAACAGTGCTTCATCCAATGGAATTGATGAGGCAAATATAGATTACAATTTTGTTTAGGAAAGGAGCAAAGCTTATTCTGTTAACATGATAAGCATTCATCACCCTGATCAAGCTCTGCAGAGCCAAAAGTCAAATTTGTCACTAGCAGATCCAGGTTGTACTCCTTATTTAAGGAGTATATATGCAAGAATATTGTATTTGCACACTGAAAAATCATACACACAGACTGAAATTTCTTGTCCGGCATGGGAAGACAATTCAGTTCAAGACAGATAAGTTAATCAAGATTCTTTACCTGACTAGCAGTCATCTAGCAAAGGTCAAATATTTGGAACCATAAGGTAAGTTGTAATATTTTCACCAATATTGTGGTGCTTTGAAAAATCAGTGCAGGTTTTACAACAATACCTCTTCCTCTAGTACATCTCAAAGTCACATTACCAAAAGTCTAGTTTTGTCAACTATTAATATATAACAAACCAAAAAAATATAGAGGTTGAGGAATCTCCACATTTTGTTTGTATATCATATATAAATAATGGCTCCATATGGTAATGGACATTCACATGCAGCTACAGTTTTCTCCTTCAGGAAGGTGGTTTTGTTCTACATGCCATTTAAAGCAATGGACTCAAGATTTTTGTTGTAGGGTAACCCTCCAAGCCTCTAGAGAGACAAAGAATCAATCCAAAATAGGCATATAAGTTTAGTTGGAATTTGTAGCAATAAATTACAAAGCAGTAAATCATAGTAGCAAGTTATGCAATGTACTAATACTTTGACCAGCAGAGATTCCCGAGGAGGAGGATTTTTTTGCCACAAAAATTAAGGCACATAGAATTAAAATGCACTCTTCTCCTCCTATCTGCGCGGGTAGAATAACCCCAGCAAACATGGTAGTAAATTGTTTAATGATTCACTTGGTATAGCACCTAAAATGCTAGCAAATTAAACTTTTTCTGTTATGAAATGGTGTTCTTACAAGCAACTCTAGACAAGTATAGCTTCCAATTTAAACTACAATTATGACTATCATAAAGTTTTAAATATGTGTTACAGACTTGTGACATTTTTTCAAGAGCTGAATTAACTTCCAATAAAGTTGACTTCCAGTTAGCCAAGCCCCTGCCAATGAACGCCAAGATACCTCAGTCCACATCCCAAACTATAAACTGAACTCACCTCAATTTGCTGACAGATTTTGCTTTCCAAGATAGACATGTTTTCACCATTCCCATTTTCAGCCATTTTCACCAGCTGTTTTGAAGAGAACACAGAGCAAAAGCACTAAGTTTTGAATAGTACTTTCTAGAGACTTACATTCATGTAGCATTGCATTTCACTGCAGCCTCATCTAAAAAAGGTAACAGCCAAGTTAACTAGCCATACATTTATGTTTGTGAAGCAACTATTAACAGGACTGCAGAACTCCAAGGGGATACTATGAAACAACTTGGGGGAAAAAAATCCCCTTACTTTGGTTGTTAGTGCAACATTTGGCATTCAACAGTCAAGATACAATTTAGGAAATGCTGGCACGTCTCAGACTTCTTTGTTATTTATCTTTTTCTAGACATAGATCCTCAGTTTAGAAAAACAACATTTGTTTTTTAAGTCAAATACAACCTCTCATCACTAGGCAAAACAATCAATAACAAAAATGTTCAATTCCTACATAGATATAGTGAGAAAATGTTTCTGAAGTTTCTGTCTCCTGTTTAATCTTTGGAAAGTTTACAGAACTTACTGGAGGATGGAATGAAAATATTTGCATTTACTGACATATCCTAAAGATGATTCGTTCTCTCCTTTACAAATGTGTCTTCACTGCAGTTCTGCTTGAATACTGAATCAAGTATCTTTATAACATAAGACATTTGAACTTGGAAGTAACTTTACTTAACTGGCAGCAAGTGTATAATCCCAGTACATCAGATACAGTCACTACTAAAGCAGCTACTGGCCAGAACATTAACTGGGATCAAACATTTTCTATCTAGTAGCTCTTAAGGACAGAGTGTGAAGATTAATCCTTGAGAAAAAAAATGTAGCTTTATGAAGCTGTCAGAAATTAGTTTGAATTCAGTTTTGAACTATGAAGCAGAGATTTCTTTTCTCTCTTGGAGCACTAACACATTTTTTAAATCCAGCTACAGAAGATAAAGAGGTTTCTTGGTTGTGTTACCCCAGTTCATAGATCTGTGATCACAAAGGCTACTGGCAAAGATTTTGCACTCATGTCTTGAATGGCTTACTGGGAGATTTGACCATACACCTTGTGCTACTTGCAGGGCAGTAACATCTTTCAGAGCATCTAGATGACTGGCAACACAGAAGTAGGGAAAACTCCCCCAGGTGCCCTTGTAACAGGAAATTATGTTCTTCATCAGAATGCCCCATTGGCAGCCTCATCTTCTTATTTTAGTAGTTTAATTCCCCAATAACTGTTCAGCCTACTGCAGTCTGCAGTATTCCCATTTCCTCCTCTTCCTGATCTCAAAGCCACATTCAATCCTTCGAACTTACTTGTAATTCTTCAGCAACTGCAGCCTTGAAAGGTGCTGTGCTTGCACCTGTACCTAACAGTGTAACACTTTAAAGCATGATTTCAGCAAGCTTTAGTTGCCAGCTATGCTGTGATCCATTTATCCAAAAAGCACTTTACAAAACCCAGGCCAGAGCACCCAAGCTAGAGTTGCAGTTACTTCAGAGATGTCCCACATGAGCCAGCTTCCCTAGCTACAGGAGACTAATGCTTCACCACCATTCAGGTGCTGGTACTGTCTTCACACCCTACTGAGAGAAATCAGTGTTCTGTTTTACATTATACCCAATTTGATCTAATTTAACAGCAGCCTATAGAGCAGTCTCTGACTGCTGTCCCAAATCTGCCTCAGCCCAGGTACCAAAATACTCAAAACCAAAAACTCAATTTCCACATAAGGTTCAGCTTCACTGTTTAGAAGAGGAAAAAACAAAGTCTACTTCTTTAGGAGTGTTGTCAAGGTTAATATCAAAAAGCATGATCCAGGATAAGACTTTAGACAAGTTCTTTAGCATAAGTCATACACATGGAAAAGTTTTTCTAAAAAGCATCCTTTCAGCTGCAACAATCTTAGTAGTCTTAATAGGGAAGACTAAGAAAGACTCAAACTTGCCATGCATGGAATTCAGTTCAGTGATTGAGCTCTAACCTATTTAGAACAAAAGCAGAAGCAGCCTTCTAATTTAAGAGAAATTCTAGCCTTTGCACATGCTCACTTCAGACTCTTTAGCTCAGTCATTTGGCACAGCTTCCAGATCAATGGTTTTCAGTCACTGTGCAGCAGTGAAGACTGATAAAAAGCTCAAATGAACAGCAATCACAGTTAGAACTGCATGCAAAATTCTACAAAAGATTTTATTTTAAGGGCTTTCTTAATAAACTATACTGACTTGTTCCTTCCATACGCTGAAACTCTGTATCAGTACCACATGAAACAAAAAAACAAGTTAAAATAAAGCAAGTAGTCATTAGGTTTAAATGATACACAATTACAGTCAACCCATAACTAGAACAAGTAGATCCTACATTGTATTAGCTAGATCATCCCAAAAGAACTCTCACGTAGATTTTCCTCTTACCAGACATTTAATTTCAAGCTCTAAACAAAGTTTAGTTGCAGGCTGATTATTCTATTATTACTGTAATAGAGTGAAAAGCTTTCCCGATAAGGTAACATGGATCTCTTATTCATATTATGCCTCCTTCAGGAACCTCTGTATAAGAGGTTTCAGCCTGGTTTTTATTTAAGGGTAAGGTTTAATTAGAGCCACGCATTTTCATAGACGTTTACTTTAACAGATATTTTTTTTTTTAGTATAGTCAGTGCAATGTAAGAAAAAAATTCTTAGAATTCTTTAAGTAATTGAAATGTCGGCCCTGAACTGTGCCGGGCGACCATCAGTTGGCTGTTGGCACTTCTGCAAGCCTGCAGCGGCAACACGCCGCTCTTCGGGCAGCCTCTGGCGCCGTGGCCCAGCCTCCCGCCCAGCGGACAGCTCTGCCGGCCGGAGCGGCGGCGCTGCCCCCGGGCCGGGCCCGGCTCCCCGCGGCGGGAGCGGCGCCGCTTCCCCGGCCGAGCCCGAGCCCCGCAGCGCGCACCGAGCCCGCGGGAAGCGATCGCGGCGGCGGCACGGCCGGGCCCGCTCCGCGCCTCCGCCGGGGCACACACGGCACGTGCTGCCTGCTCCGGGAACCCTCCCTGCCTCCCTCCCGGCCCCGCCGCCGCGCCCCACCGCAAGCTGTGCCCGCGCTCCCCGACAGGGCCAGGGCCGGACCCGGCGGGGCGCGCCCGAGCAGCGGCGCCCCCGGGAGCGGCTCCATACGAACCTGCGCGCTCGGCCCCGCTCCGCGCCCCAGAGACCGCGAGTCCGCGCCGCGCAGCCCAGCAGCCCCCGCGGCCCGCCCGCCCCTCACGCACGCGCCACTTCCGGGGAGGGGCCAGAGCGCGGCCCCGCCCCGCGCCGGGAGCGCGCGCGCTCGTGAGGGCCGCGCGCGGGGATCCCGCTCGCCCTTCCTGCTCGCGGCTTTGGGCACCGGGAACCAAAATAACAACTGCAGTTTGTACAGTGGCGGTAGAGTCACATTTATTAAGTATTGCAAACGTTCACTTAAACACTGCAGATGTACTGTGGACATCTCTAGTGCTACAAACACGGGAATCACAGAAGTGAAAAGTTTAAGCAATAGTATTGACTTTACAATTGATTCGACTTCCACATTACTTAATTTTCTTGTTTATAGGTGAAACAGTAAAACAGAGTTAACCATAGTACAGGTCCAATAGCACAATAATTTAGTGTTTACAGTCAACCATTTTTAAAAACATACTACAGATGGCTAAGAGATTCCTCGTAGGCTGCTGACCAGAGGTCAGAATCCTATTCCTCTTGCTGAGTTAATTTTCCTGCCTGTGCCCAAGACCTGATTGCAACACACTTTGAGATGTGATACATAAGTTAATTTTAAAGGGCATGGTAGGTTATTGTGAAAAATAGCACCAATTGAAATTTAATCATTAGTCTGAACTTCTCTCCATTTATTCTAATGCATTGAAAATCTCAGAGAAATTAGGATTCAGCTGAAGTACTAAGCAGTAATTTCTTTGACTTTTATTTATGCCAGACGAACAAATGCTTTCCTGACAGGGGAGAAGTAAAGGCTTTTTTTCCACTTTGCACTTAACAGTGAGGCCAAAAAAGCAGCATTTGCTTGCCTGCAGGTAGCCCAGGGACACAAAGCAGAGTCCAGCTTCCTGTGCCTGTGCTCCAGCCCTGGAACAGCACTGTCTTGCACCAACATCAAGCACCTAGTTTGCAAGCAGTTGGCAAGGGGACACTGAGAGGTTTGGTTTTGTTAGTCCTCACCTTGTTAGATCCTTTCACTGACTCACGACTGTTGGTGACAGGATACAGGCCAGAATGAACCTCAAGGCCAGCTACAAGCAGCTGTTTTCAACAAACATGAAGCTTCACAGGTAAGTAATTTGCACTGAAAAATTACATAAACACGTTGAGTTCAATGTGGTTTCATTCAATACAAAGATCACCTTCATGTTCTCGTGATGTTATCCTTTCAATCTCCACTCATGCTTGAGCAATTGTCATCTGTAGAGATTTCCAGGAAAAACAAATTCATTTTATCTCTTGCTCATCTGCTTGGCCCACATATTTTAAACAGCCTCGCAGTTCAATTCTCCACCCCTCTTTAGAGCCTTTAAACAAGTTACATTGGATCCCCAAATAGTTCTCAGTGAGATGGGTAACAAAGCAAAACACTGAACACACACACAAGCTTCTGACATAGTGAGGCAACACATGAAAATATCAGAAAAAGAGCTGTACATATACACCACAGAACTTCACATCAAAGCCACAGCTGAGTGCCACCTGCTACCAGAGGTCAAATGCAAGTCAGAAATAGCATTAAAATGAGAAAGAATTTTAAAAAAAGCTGAACATGCTTATGATCAAACAAAATAAATATTATAAACTCAGAGCTTATTGCTTGGAAAAGTCCTGTGAAAAATCCAATAAAACCTACATTTCTTTTTAGATAGCAGTGCTGGTGTGGGAAATTCCCACCACACCCTATGGCAGCCCTGTGTTATCCTTGCCTCTCACACCAATGTCTAACAGCTGTTTCTGCATTCATTTTATAAACTGGACTAGGGGATCAGTGCTAAAAGAGCCTTCTCTGTTCCCCAAAGCAGTTCTTCATTTGGATCACCACTGTCAGGCCACAGAGTATGATCTGTTGTCTGTAAATCACTTTACAAAAATCCACTTTCTACACAGAATTTGAAAATCTCATATTAAGTTTTGAGAGAAATAATAAATAAATCAATCCTATAGATCATGTTTTTCTTCATGCATAACACATTTTGACAAGTTTCTTTAGTTGTTACCTTTGCTCAAGATACAGTTTAAAAAAGATAAAATGGTAGTAAACAAAATAGAGAAGTTTGAAGCTCAGGCGGATGTTAATTTTCCAGTCTCTCTCATTTCCTCCTTCCATTCCACACAGGCACACATCTTGAATTGATATTAAAAAAGAGTTAACACATTAAGGCTTTTCTCTGAACAGCCCTCCCCCCACAAAACCACCCAAACTACAAATACCTGTGCATCAGCCAAAGATCCCATTGCAAAACCTTGCAGAGTATTTTTTAATTTGTTGTTGGCAATGTCGAAGAGAGTGTGAGAACGGCAGAGAGAAATGCCCTTTTACTTCTCCTTCTGGAAAACTAGTGCATGCTTTTGGCCTGTGCTCTGGGGCTACTACCAACATTTCTTCCCTCATTCCTAGCCTAAGCTCTTCTTTGCTCTGGCACTTGAAGGTAGAGTTAGAGGCATCCTGTAAATGCCCATTTCTGAATCTGATAACCTAGTTATCCCAGTGATATTGCTCTGCATATAACATACACATAGCTTGTGTCAATGATCCATTTCTACAGCTACCTTCAGAATACAAAGATTTCATCTTAAGGTCAGTAGTCCTTAGAACTGTATTTTGTTTGGCTTTTCTCATCTTAGCACCAAGTCATAGTTTCATCCAGTGATTAACAAAAACAAATCAAAATTTTCACAGTAGTTCCTATGCTGCTGTACAAAGTATTATAAGAGAGCAGTTTGAGAACTTCCATTACAAAGAATGATTGGACTGAAAAATATATGGAAATCTTGTTACCACATTTATGTTTCTGAGTTGTTTAAAGTGAGAACAAATTATATCTAGTTATTAACAACGTGCACTAAGTGATTGTATTAGACAACCCCTCATGAGGTAATCAGTACTGTTTTGAATACTGCATCTGCTGCTTTCTGTAACAGCAAGATGTAAATGAAATGCTTACACATTATACACACAGACACAGCCATGTGACCGCATAGCACTGGGAAGATTACCTACTGCTTCCCATTTGTTCAGTTCAGGGTCGTATTTCTCAATGCTCTGCAGGTATGTTCCTTTTGAATAGGAATATCCTCCTGTTACATAGATGCATCCGTTCATAACCACCGTGCCACACTCCATCCTTCTCTCCATCATGTGAGCCATCTGCTTCCACTCATTTTGCTCTGGGTCATAGCAGTCAGTGATCGTGGTCTGTCCACCCACAAAATAGATCTTGTTTTGTAATGTAATTGAACACAATCCATATTCTTCAGAAAGAAAGGAATATGGTACAACTCAGCACAATAACATTAACTTAAACTGCAAGTACATGACAAACATTAGACACCACTGAGCAGAATATCCTCACTGAACTTAGAAGACACCTCAGGATTTTCTGTTACACTACAGCACCAGTACTCAGTGAAAATTGCTTTAAAAACTTACTGTTACCAGATGTAGAACATAGAGAAAACCCATTTAAAATTAATATAAATAATTTTTGCCAAATGTCAATGAATAGATTTTACAGAAAGTTCTATTATTTAATGGAATGCGGACATTCCTTAATTCAGTATTTATATAGTGATTTCTATAGAACAGATGCCTGAAGAAGGTCTTCCTTTTCATTTTCTGAGTTTGGAAACAGCCCTTGCTGCCCTACAGGCATTTATTTTTTTAATTAGGAATGTGCCAAAAACCCCTAACTGGGCTTAAGGACTCCCAGGTACAAGTAATTAAATCAAACTCTATGTTCGTTAGAGAAATTATTTACCTGGATGTGGACTTGTGGTGACTATACTCCACTCATTGCTACCTGAATGGTATCTCTGGATTTTATCGTAGGTGCAGCTTCCCCTGTACCCATAGTGACCTCCAGCGACATAGATGACTTCATGCAGGACACAGGCAGTGGCATTTCCAACTCCTGTTCACAGTGTGAAAGTCAAAAATGCATTCAGACTACACGCAATAACCATGGTCTCTTCCATCCATAACTCCATTTCAAATTATTTATTAATATTTATTAATGTTATATGCTTTCAAGTATTTAACTGAATGTGAATAAAACAGATTTATCAAGAGACCAGCATAAGTCAAGAATGACTAAATAAAACTGCAGTAACCAATGTATATTGCACATAATATAGCCACCCAATAGTTCATAGAATTTTAGGCAGTAAGTAAAGTCACATTGTCTCACTGATTTTGGAATAGGCAATTAGTTTCACTGTTTCACTAAGTTAGAGTTGTTAAAAATCACTTAGATGGCAAGAGCAAAGACAATGGGAGTTGAGGTTGTTCAGTGTCTTGGGGTATCTTTTCTGATACTTTTAGTCATTCTCATAATATTTCTAATTAAGCTATTGTATAAACAAGGACCCAGACAGAATGGAGCTATTTTAACTCTGTCTCTAGGACAACAAAATGAAATAAAGCAATGGGGGGGTCTGAGCACCTAAGTAGTTTCCTACTCATGAAAAGTGGGCAAAACAACTGCATAGAATATGTAACTCATAGGATTAGCATAGCATTTCTAATTTTGAAGGAAATAAAAAGTAGTAGCAATGTCTGAGGAAAGCATACAAACAATGGAGAAAGTTGTAAAAGCCTGCTTTTTTTCTTTTACATATACATCCAAAAATTCTCTTGTACATAGAAAAATATTATGTTGCATTAACTTACAATAAATTTTTATAACTAACTATAAATATTTGCATTCATTTATAAAGATGTATGATACAATGTATAACTGTAGTATTGTTACAAAATAATCACAGAATAGTCTGAGTTGGAATGGACCCAAAAAGATCATCAATTCCAATCTTAAGTGAATGGCAAATACAGAGATAAAACCTGCAACCTGGGCATTATTTAGCACCAGGCTCTGACCAGCTGAGCTCATCTCAGAGTCAATACCCTTTGGTTAGGCTGTGAATCATACCTTTTTAGCAGATCACTACTTTGGCTGCTAGAAACAGGTATTAGTGCTTTTCATTATTCTCACACTAGAGATTAAATGAAGGATCTTGAACAGATGATACACAGAAATAGGAGGGAACTCCATGCAAGAAGTTTTAAATTATGACACCTTTATAAATGACTGCATGGAAAATCATATATAAAAATAATACACTCCCTTTATTGGAGCTTGCTCTTTGATTGTGTACTGAATAGACTCTTATCCATCCAAACTACCTCTTATGGGTAGTTTTCTCATTTCTTTCTATTTTAAACAGAAATGTTACTCATGAAAGAAGGCAAAATTTAACTGAGAATACCACTTACTTTTCTACCTGCTGTTCTCTGGCACAGCCCAGCATAGCATTTGAATGGTTATGGTAATTTGGCTAGTGAAGACCTGAACCAAAGCCCACTAACATTAACAGGAGATTCCCATGGACTTCTCTAGAATTTGGATCAAATCCTAAATGTTTCCATGGCACTTAAAAATGAACAATACAAAAGAATTTACATTGGAGGCAAACATCATACAAAAGTTTACCTACCTTTGATCATGTTTGCAATGGGAAGCCATTTCTGTATTAAAGGATCATAAAACTCAGCTTCTTGGACTGGAGCTCCCTTTCGGTACCCTCCCAATGCATAAATGCAGCCACTTAAGGAAACAGCACAGTGGTAATACCTGGCGTCGAGCATGGGGCTGCCTTCTGTCCATTCATCTCTCTCGCTGTTATATATCCACACAGTGTCAAGAGCTTCAATACTCTCTGTTCTGTAACCTCCTGTCACATATATGTCTGGTCCCAAACTAGTGACCCCATAGCTCTCTCTGGTGTGATCTGGCATCTCTGTTCCCTGGACCCATGCGTCAGTTAAAGGATCCCAAACGTGAACTTCAGATAAGGGATGCCAATAATAGCCTCCAATTACATACATGGCTGCTGTGGATCTTCTGGAAAGACCTTTGGGATTGAGGTTCAAGGCATTATATACGAGTGACCTTATCTTACCGTCATTGAGTCGGCATTTTTTTTGCAGGCTTAAAGCTGACCTCAAATACACAATATCTAAGTCTAATTTGATGCAGCTCAGCACTTCACAGATGTCTTCAATTCTTCCTTCCACGTTGTGTGCCACCCACTTAATGACAGCTTCAATGGCTGCCTCTTCTTTCTGAACATTGAGATTCTCCCTGGAGAGAATATAAGAGAGCTTCTCCTTGCCAATGTCCAGAAATTCTTCCTGCTTCCATACTTCTTCAAACTGCCATAACAATATCCTTCTGGACTCTTTCTCCAGCTCCGAGCAATCATGATATTCAGCAAAGGAGTGCATCCCAATGCAGTTGTCAGTATCTAAGTGTCTTACCAGAAACTGCTCACAGGCTTTCTTTACTGACACGAACTGGAGCAGGTCTGCAGCCTGGAGTAGGCTTTGAACATTTCTTTTTGTTATCTGGATCTGTGATGTGTATGCGTAATTCACGAGAGCTTCCAGTACTGCATGGCTGAGCTCGGGAAGGCTGATCTGGTTTTTGGATTTTTCTTTCATATCGGTTGTGAACATAGCTTTAAAATAACTGCTGCAGGCTGCCAGGGCAGCTCTGTGGCAGTGGAAGATGACCCCCGAAGCGCACTGCAGGGTGATGTCGGTGAACAGCCCGTCCAGGTAAAAGTCCCGGAACGCCTCCAAGAAGCCGGCGGGGTGCGCGGGGTCCTTGTAGAGGTACGCGTACTCCTCCTGCCCGGCCGCGGCCATCGCCGCGCCCCGCAGCTCCCGCCGCTTTGTCCGCGCCGCTCCGCGCAGCCCGGCCACCCTCTGGCTGCGGATCCGCCCGGCACGGCGCTTACGGGGGCTCCGAGCCCGCGGCGGCCCCTGACCGTCTTTGGAAGAGCCGCTGCCGGAGGGAGCAGCGGGGCCGCAGCGACAGCTCCTATTTTGGTGCCCCGGCCGCCCCCCCGCGCACCGCTCCGCCAGGCCGGCGGGCCCCGGCGCCCAGCCCGGCCCCCGCGCCCGCTCGCCTCGGAAAGGTCCGGCCCGAAGCGCTGCCGCCGCCGTCCGGGCGGTCCCCGCCCGGGACAGGGGTTAAAGGCTGTCTGCGGTGGTGACAGAAGGCCCGGCCGTGTTAGGGACAGGAGCAGATGCCTGGGGAGCGTCACCAGCTCGGTGTCACTCAGCCACACAACAAAGCGAGGGGCCTCGGCCGCCGCCGTCAGCGACCTGAAGCCGCTTCTCGCAGGGCCGCCCCGCGCTCCCAGGGCGCTTGGAGGAGCGATACTGGGAAGAGCAGCAAGCTCCAAGGGCTCCCCCATTACTGGAGAGCAGGAGTCGAAAGGAGAAGCCACAGCTCTCCCCAAACTCCTGAATCTGGCAGGGTGCAAAGGACAGTTACAAATGATGCCCACAAGTAGATTTCAACTATAAGTACATTTTCCAGGAAGAAGGCTATATTGGCTTTTAAAACTCCTGAAAATGTGATTCACAATTGAAGAAATCAATTTTTTTTCTGCTAGCAACACATTTTCTTTATTTGAAACACACCATCGTCTGGGTTCAAGCAGCTGTGGGCTCTCCTTCATCGGCAGCGCAGCTTGGATTCTTTGCATTCAGCAGCCAAGCTCTCCCTGCCCTGCCAAAGCTTTCCTAGATTGAAAGAACTGCCAGTAATTTCTTCAACCAAAAGGAGGTGAATAGTATCATTAGCTAAGTGCCAGCAATACTCAAAAGGAGAAAGTTTGATGTTTCCCATACAACACAGATGAAAAAGCATTGTATTTTTCTTTTAATTACTGGTGGTATTTCTGCCACAAAGCCCAGCAGAAGTATGAACTAAGGAAATCCAAACAGAAAAGTGTATATGGTCTTAACCCTCTGCCATCCTTCCTCTCATGCTAACCCTTCACCAGGATTAAAACTGTCCCTTGACCTTTACACAGTAACATGAGACAAAAATAAAATGATCCAAACAGACAATAACCCCCAACAAAACTAAAATTTCCCCACACCTATACACATCTATGCCTTCATTTTTTTCAACCCCTCCGGATGTATTGTCAGCCCAGAGAATTGGAGTTTTGTACTGTAACCCAGGAATCACAACAGCTCTGCTGTCTGACATGGGCCTGTCCCTCAGCTACATTACTCCATTTTTTTATCCAGAAAATTCTCTTGTGCAGCCTTAAGTCTTTATACATCCCCATGCCAACAGCTTTGTTTTGGTTGCATTTTCCATTTCATCACCTTCCTATGGACAAGCAGGAACTTCTTTGAAGTCTTGGCTATTGCACTAGAACACAAAACTAAGGCTAAGTACTTGCATAGCTGTGGCATATGACAGCACACCTGCTACCATAGAGAACATTTCCCATACATATATCACTTTCATTATGCTTTTTTTTTTCCCATAACATTTTTACCTAATTCATTTCCCTCCCAGAGAGCAAATCAGGAGGTCAGCAACACTTAGTACTGAACATGTATCCCCCTTCAAGAAGCTTTTCCCTTTCTTTTGGTTGGGCTACCAGCTTCAACCAGCTTCACTCTTTGGAGATACTCATCTCCCCTCCATTGTAACCAAACGTGGAAAATTTTGGTAATTGTAGTGTTTCAAAAAAGTCCTCACTTTTATTAAGTGGGAAAAAAAAACCCAAACAAGACCTGATTAATAGCTTAATGGTCTGCCTACTGGAATTGAAAAATTTCTTCTGTCTCCAACATGCACTTTGTTTGGCAAATATCAGCTCTACCCCCTACCTGAAGTGATTAGAACATAACTGCTAATATTTCAAGTACTCTGCTTAATCTACTCTCAACTCCTGCTTCAGCACTTTAAGCAAAACCACAGAAAAACCCTTTTGTAAGCATGAAGAACAATTTCTCACCAATATTTTATTCTCACAGCAAATTACAAGGTCGGACCCTTAAGGCTAAGACAACGATAGATAGTGTAAGTGGAAGAAAAAGCTGAGTAATCACTAATATACTATTTACTGTTTTTAAGCAAGCAGTAACCAAGATCTGTGGACAAACTGAAAGCAAGCTATTTCATAACTTCTGAAAAACACAGAAGAGACCAGCACAAAGTCTGGAACATTCAGAAGCACATCTAGAATTAAGGAAACATACAACTGTCCTGGTTTTGTCTGGAATAGAGTTAATTTCCTTCTAGGTGGCTGGTTAGTGCTGTTTTGGATTTACTATGGGAATCATGTTGACAACACACTGTTGTTTTGGTTGTTGCTAAGTGGTGCTTACCCATAGTCAAGGACTTTTCATTTTCCCATGCTCTGTCAGTGAGAAGCTGCACAAGGAGCTGGGAGGAGCATGGCCAGGACAGCTGAGCCGGACAGGCCAAAGGGATATCCCACAGCATGGGAGGGCACACTCAGCACAGAAACTGGGGGAAGTCAGCCGGGAGGGGCCCAGCACTGCTCGGGCGTGGGCTGGGCATCCAGCCCACTGAGCAGTGTATTCTACATCACTTGTTTCTCCTGCACTTCATTCCTTTCTCTCTCCTTTTCATTACAATTATAGTAACTTAGTACTACTATATTTTATTTTGTTTCAATTATTAAATTGTTCTTATCTCAAATCATAGGATTAATTTTTTCCCCAATTCTCCTCCCCACTCAGTGGGGGATTGGAGTGCACAAGCTGCTCTACTTAGCTGCCATCTGGGGTCAAATGAAGGCAACAACTTCAAACTCAAAGTAATATATGAAATTGCCCTATGCAACAGCCATTACCATTCTTCTGTATGACCTGTAAACCAGACAACTTAAACCTGCCACAGCCTGAGACCCACCAGTCCTTCAATGTCTTTATGCCTTTGAGTAAAACATTAGGCTAAGATCCCAAATATGAACATCTCAGACACCTACAAAACATCCATCACTAAAGCCAGGCTCCTGAGAACTGAAGTATGTTGCTTTGGACACCTCAGGCAATACACTGTTCAAAGCAACCTTCTACAATACAGTAAAATAGGTGAGGCAAAGAAAGAAGTGCACAAGGGAAATTTATGTAAACCAGCAGCCTGAAAACAGGCAAGACCACTCAAAAATCTTCAATTAAGGAAAAAGAAGGTAGTGATAGTATGAAATGTCAATAAGAAAATAAGAATAACCTTGCACAGAAAACAAAGGAAGACAGATATGGCAACTGCTGGCTGCTGAGCTACTCCTCAGACATCTGCAACTGAGGCACTGTGAAATTTGGCTTAATCTCTCAGTTATTAAAGCACTTAAGCTAAATATGACCTCAGTTTAACAGCAGACTACATCAGCATTTTGAACCTTTTCTGAGATATAAGAATAAAAACATTTGGCATGAAAACACATTATTTAACTTTAATAAGACTTACTTTTAATACCTTTATATGTACAGTCCAACACTTGGGGCTCACCTCACTGCCAGTGGAAAGACTGCATGGTCACAAGCAATTCTTTAGAACTACTTAGAACCATCTGTTTAGAAGTTAAAATGGACATAGATGCTTCCTTCCAGACTGTAAGAGATTGTGCTGTAGATATAAATGAGAATGAATAGGTAAAATCAGTGTATACGTGTATATGTATGTACCATTCTGTGAGCCTGTGCACTGCAGCAGAAACCAAGGAGGAAAAAAGGCATCTGGCTGAATCAGAGCTGCCAGCATGGAAGGTCAAACCAGTGTCAGCTCTGTACAGGGTGGCAGCAGCACGCTGGCGGGGCAGTAGTCAGAATGGGAGTGAGACTTTTCTTTTAAACAAAAAAGCAACATCCTTGCAGCTTTCCAGAAGAGAAAGGGTATGACCAGCCAAAGGCTGACACCTACACTTGTGTCTACTCTCTCCAGGCTTGATGAAATACAGGCCAGCAGAATACATGACACAAATTAGTTGTGTTGCATTTTTCAGTGACAGCAACTTTTATTGTCTTTAAAATACAAGACAATACAAAATATTAAGAAGTAATTTTGTTCGGTGAAATAATTAGTAGATTGAAAATATAAATGCATCTTCATGTTAAATAAGATTACAAGCAAATAATTTGCCATCAGATCAAAGAAGTATAAAGGCCAACAGCTCTAGAACCATGCTCCTGGCAGCTAATGTTTTCTAAGTAAAGGATTTCATTCTTTTGAACAGGAATCCTACTCCTTCCCCTAAGTGTGTGGGATTGCAAGTATGTATTAGTGATATACTTGTAAAGGGTTGGAGGGGAGGGAGTAGCCAAAAACTAATGACAAGTCCTGTCCCAACATTCCTTCACCACTTACGCTGGAATCTGTACTGTGTTAGAAGGCCTTTTTACTGAGCTTTCCCATTATCACCAGGATTGAACATAAACAGTTTTATGTTGTGGTTAAAACCCCCATAACTTCAGATAATAGCCCAATTTTACAGTTTTGAGCTTTTATACACATGCAGTTTTTCTCTCCCAGTACGTTAAAATGTAACTGCATCAGTTTCCTTTTATCATTTGAATCATTCCTTTATAAGTAGTTTCAGGTAAGACATAATGTCAATTGCAGATGACCAAACCAGAACAGAACACTGTACAGGACTGAGACTTTGGGCCAGTTGAGAAATCCTTTTCTCCAAGGTATAGCCCTGCCTGGGCATAGCAATATCATTCTTCTTCAAAAACATTACTGGACATAAGTCATTCTCGCCATCACCTATATATATAATTTGTGTATAACTCACTCCTCGCTCCAACTGTTTATCTAGAAATTCTTTTAAAACTTTCCTTTTGCAAAGGTTTTTAGGGCACTTTGCACAATGGTGAGCATGGAAATGCTGTACAGTAAGATAGCCAGTACTGCTGAATGCGGCAGGGTTTGTAAACACTTCATCAAACACTTTATGGAAGTCAGCAGCTTTCAAAATCCAGTCAATAAATACTGTATTAGAATCTGAAACAATTATACAATCAAACAACTCCTTGTTCTCGCCAATAAATCCCAGAAGATCTATCATTCCTGCAGTGAAAGGAATTGTTGTCATAGTTCTTTTCATCTCTTCTTCTTTGACACCATTGTCTCCCAAGTAGACAAAGACTCTGCCCATATATTCTGTCCAATGTCCTGGTTGGTAAGAGTTTCTTAATCCATTAGGAAGTTTTCTTTCAGGAGCACATTTCACAATCCAGGTGTCACTATTTTCATCTATGATTGTATGGTCAAAATCAAAAACCAACAGAAATTTCATAGCTGTGAGAAAACAGTTTCCAAAACAAAAAAATAAGAAAATTATTTATATAAGCAGAAGTACTATATTCTTAACCTGACCTTGTGCTCAGAAGAGAAAAATTCTGGACGGAAATTATTGGAACAAAATAAACTACTTATGGCCATTACCAAGATGGGAAAGGTATGCTGTAGCTAAAAACGCAATTTGTAAATGCCAAACTTCAGTGTCCAACTTCTGTTTAAAATAGTAACTGTGACAGTATCTAACTCATGTTTACTAATACTTCCTAACACAGCACCAATCTTCCATATTCACACCCCATCAGTTTGAGCAGATACTAATTTCTCCATCAGCACTTGCCAATGCAACCAAACCGGGATTCTCCTGGCAAAAGGCCTCAATAGGTGTTTCGAAAGGAAACGTTCACCGCCTGTTCGAACAGATGGAGCAGGAGCGTTGAACGAGGCCGCAGACAATCCGAGCAGCCAGGGCACGAAACGCAGCGCTTTGCGGAGCTGACCCGCCGCCCCCCGGGCCGGCCGCGCTGTGGGCGCCGCCCGTGAGGGGACGGGGCGGTGCCCGCGCGCCCTCACGTGACCGCGCGCCGCCGGTCGCCCGGCAACGGCCGCGCGGCCCGCGAAGATGGCGGCGGCAGCGGCGGGGCGGCGGCGGCGGCGCGGCGCCCGTGAGTGCGGCTGCCCCGCGGGCAGCGGGACCCGGCGGGAGGGCAGTGCCGAGCCCGCGGCCGTAGGGCTCCGGGAGGCTGTGGGGTGCTCAGCCTGACTCTCCTCAAAGCTCCCCCAGCTGCAGACGGCAAGAGGGGCTGTGTCTCCCTTGGAACTGAGTGGAGAGAACTGACCTGACGCAGCGCAGGTCCGGGAACCTCCCGGGACAGCAGCTGGGGAAGAACGAGGGGCTCGCCAGACTCCTGCCTGCAGGGCGCGGCCGCATCAGTGCGCCTTTACTTCTGCGGAGGCTGTCTTCACCTAGGACAGAGGGACAGGATCAGGTTTGATCCCTGTCGGGAAACCGGTCAGCAACGGCATCTGGAGAACAGACTTTGGCACCGGTGTCACTCTAATAGAAAGCCTCCTTACCTTTCAGACATGGCCTGTCAGTCTGCTGCAAATCACACAATTTCTGCAGAATACCACTCTGTACAGAGTGCCACTCCCTTCAAAAATGGTGGTGACACTTGAAAGTGCATTTCACAAAACCTAGACATCAATTAGAAAAGCTGCATTTATGCCTGCACATATGTATGGGAGCCTAATGTAACAAAGAAATCCTAGTCTTGCTAACAAATCAAAAACTGTTCTACAGCAGAACTATTTCAGTAAATATGATGAGTATGTGCAGGACATGGTAGTAAGGCACAGTCTGTGTCCAAACTGCTGCCTCATCCAGCCAGCAGAATGGCTTTACCAATATTCTCCTTTTCATTTAGGGAGGTCTCTGCTCCCTGCTGTTCTAAGAAGCATGCCCAAGTACTGCCTGGGAAGTGTGTTACTACAAGCCAAACCCACACATACACACGAACAGGCAAGGGCACTACAAACAGTCCAGTCAGTCAGTGCCCATCCAAGTACATGCACTGGTCATAGGTAGACTACAGATAGAGATACCCCGTCTTAGCTCTGGGGTTCGGGGATGAGGGACTAAGTAATACTAAGAATAACCTAGTATTGTTACCATTCCAGCATTCAAATCCTGATACATGTTTGATTATTGAATTTTCTGGTATCAAGTAACCTTTGCATTTTATCTTCCCTCTGCACAGCACATCACTGGAAAGAAAAGGATGTTCTAGGTGAGTATTTCCTTCCAAATGAAACAGATCTTCATCAGGTGATTATATTGCCAAAAGCAGAATGGGAAAGGATTCAGGGCAGCACTAGAGAAGCAGCACACATCAATGAGAAGAAAGAGCAGGATGAAGTGCACTTGGAGTCCAAAGCTGCTGGTGAAGACCCGCGCAGTGTGGCCCTGGTAAGTACATTTGAAAACCAGGGTAGCTGCTTTTGTATATACAAATATACAAAAGATATATAAAATTGTAACATTTCTAGCTATACTTCCTTTGTTCAACATTTTCTTTTGAATAGTTCTTTCAGCTAAATGCCATTTAAATACATTTAACATCTAGCATAAACATTTATTTTTTACTTAAAGCTGAAATGCAAAGTAAAAAACCAATCCAAAATTTAAGTGTGATTTCTAATTTTGTCTGCACTATAGAACCTGATACAACAGAAACTTCAAGCCAAAAAACTACGTGAAGAAAAGGAAGAGGAAGAAAGAAGGTTAATTGATTTGGAAGAAGCAAAGTTCCAAGCAGCAAAACGGAAGGAGGCTATTGATCGTGCAAAAGCTTACCTATCTAATCAGGATGACAGAATGAGACAGTTCCATGTTTGTTGACAGCTTATATTTTTTATATTGAACATGTACTGAATGCCTCTAAAGACTTCTGAACATGAAAATGACTTTAAATGTTCTCTTGCAGAGTGCACTTCTACTTACTAAGGTCCTAAAAGAAAGAGATGCTCAAGTTGAATTTCTTAAGTCAAGATTAGCTGATAACAAAAAGAGGGACTATGAAGAAGAGCAACGTCAATTTAAAGAATACGTTCTCAGCGAGCAAGAAAAAGCACATCAGCATTATATGAATCGTCAGGCACTATGCAAAGATCAGTTACAACAGTAAGTAGTAATTAAAAGCAACCCTACTTCATTATTTATTTAAACTCTTCTCAAAATACACTGCATGAGATTTTTACAGAACTTGCTAATAATTTGTCTCACAAATGCCATTCTTTTAAAAGAAGATCACAGAAGATCTTGCCCAAAAGGGAAAAGCTATATGCATTTTTAGTTGCTAACAGTCTGTATGCAAAATTGCCTCTGGGAAGCATCAGCAGGTTTTAGTCAAATCACTGTTCAAATGTTGTTAATGAAATTTAAGTGTACGTTACTCAGTTTTTGTTCCAGATAAGGAAAAGGTGAAATTAGATTTTCCATTTACCCATAATGAGCTTCCAGACTGCACAACAAGAGAAGGCATTACTGTCACTTCTATTCCTTCTCTCAGATTTTCCATAAATCTTATGGAGGGGTCCCCAGTGGTATTTATAGGACTGGCCCTGATGGTCTGATAGAAAGAATCAAATTTCCCAAGGCAGAGGAAGGGTTCAAATCTGGTCTTACATATTCCAGGTGCAAAACATAGATTCTTGCAGAACTTGGTATAGAACATTATCAGTTTGAGCTGCTGCCTGCATGCCCAGAAGAAACACAGGTATGGTGGGTCATATTGGGGAAATCTTGTTCTCCAAGAATGCTGCAGAGCATTACCAAAGCAGTGGTGCTAATGAGTCATGCAACTAAAACTTATCACTACAAACTGTGAGCATACCACGCAGCTCATTTCTGACCAGAGTTGCCATTACAAACAATCATCCTGTCATTCACCTCTGATATTCTACCTACCTTCAACTCAAAGTATCACATTCTTCAGTGTAAGATATCTATGGTTATGCAGTTCATTACATCATGTAGTTCCTAGACAATTTATTCACCTCTTTCTGATTCAGAATAAAGGAGCATGAGCATCAGGCAGATCTGGCCAAACAGGAAAAAAAAAGAGAAGAGGAAGAACTACAGAGATCAATTCAACTGTACCAACTAGAAATTCAGAGAAAAAAAGAAAAGGAACACAAGGAAAAACTTGAACGCCGGAAGCTGTATCATGTAAGTAGCAGGAAAGCAGACAGTTCAAAATACATATTTCACCTTGGCTGTGATGGCTGGACTTGGCCCACAAATAAACAGGATTGTGGGTAACAGGGTCTTTGCTGACAGCTTTAGTAGCCTGGGATCAAATGCTTACCCTGCCAATTGCGGGCCATCTGTTTCCTCTGTGCTTTTGAGAAAGACCTCTTGGAGGCCCCTCCCTTCTGTTGTCTGAAGGGATGTTGGCATTTAATCCTTTGAGTGGTCTATGGTTAAAGATTTGACGGAAAACATCACGGAATATCTCCTTGACTTGAGAACTGGATTTAAGTTCCACATTCCTGGTGTTTTAAGCCCATTTTTCTTTGTTCAAAAGAGGGAATAGAGAGAGACTGAATGTATCTTTTTGACTTGATATATATGATTGGAGAGGTTTAGGAATTTAGTCAAGACTTGCTGCCACCTCATTTCATCTTTAAAGGCATCCTACTAAGGTACAAACAAGAAGTGCCTCAGAGCAGTTCTGGCCAGAATGCAAAAGACAGTTGGTTTTTTACATAAAAACTCTGTGTTTTTCCGCTCTGTTTTGGATGAAGCTCTTAGACGGGGTAGTTTTGGATGAGGTGGGCTCAGGAGCAGAATGATCTGCATGTGGGTGGTGGTTGGACAATCCTCCTCGCCTGTGTTTGTGTGTGAGCATGGGACGATGCTCTCTGCATCGCACAGTAATTTGTTTGTGCAATGCACCAGAGAAGCAGCTGTTTGATGCTCAATTCCTTTTCCTCACCCTCACATCTACTGTCTCCTCTTGATGCATGTTTGAATAGAGAGGCAGAAGTACGTGGAAGTATCCCTTTTCTGTCTTCTCTCTCCTTTCCTGAGGATCCCTTTTCTCTCTTATGTTTTTAAAAGAAACTTGAGGAGGGGGAACAGGGAGTGATTCCTGTGGGCTGCTACTGCAGGTCCAGATATTCTAAACATCATCTGTTACATCAGGACCATTTTGCCCATACAGGAGTATGTAAATGACCAGAAAATAATCAAAGCAATAGAGGAACAAAACCGAATGGAAGAAGATGATCGGATCAAAGCTCATTTTAAAGCAAAGGAAATTATTGCCCAGATGAGGAAAAAGAAAGAAGCTGAAATGCGTAGGTAGGTACAATGCTAGGGTATAAATTGTAAATTATCTAAAAATGATACTGTAGTTGTTTTCAGATCATTTAGACTACTGATACAACACAATCTACAGTTATTCTAAAACATTATTCAAAATTCTACTGAAAGGGAGAGCAGGGAATTCAGGAGAAAAAGGAATTTTTTTTACAGGCTCCTTACTAAGTGTGAGGGAGCAGTCTCTCCACCTTTCAAAGTACAGAGGCTTACGAAAGTGCAAAGCTTTGCACCAGTGTATTTTGAAGAGAGATTTTCCATATGGCCTACCAGATCTCCACCTCCTCAACAATTAAAGACAATTAAGATCCTTATGAAAATATTGAGTATAACCTGTATTTCTCTGAGTCAGCTCAAGAAAAATTATATGACTTCTCAACAAGGCACATACATTAATTAACCACATTGTGTTCTTATAAAGGGGAAAGTATTTTATCATTTTAACATTGCAGGTACTACATGATGATACAACTGAGTCAATGTAAGAGTTTTCTTCCCTTCCTGTTTCTGGCCAATACTTCCAACATTCCCCTCCTGATGGCAAGATGCTTGCTGGAATCGTTACCGAGTGATCCAGCTCATTATTGGTGCAGAAACTAGTGCTACAAGAACACTGGGAACATTTATTTGCTAAATCAGATAATATAAAAATAAACCAAACAGGAGGAACAGAAGGAGATCATGAGTTAGGTGGGTGGGCCAGTCTGTGTGGTCAAGAGGAGAGAACTCTAGAAGCAGAATTGCTGAGTTTTGTAGCTTCAGGCAGACCCAGGTGTGTTGCCCTCGTATGTTATGGAAGCTCATGTTCTTCTGCAGACAAGTACAGGAACAACGGGACAAAATCAGTAGTCGATTAGCGGAACAAATGGGTGAGGCACTAAAGAAGGAAGATCATCGACTGGCTAGAGATGCGGCAAGAAGAGAAGCTGAAGAAGAAAAAAAACGCAAAGAGAGAGAAGCAAAACAAAAGGCTGCCATTGAATCTATTGCTGAACACAGAGCCACTGTGGTAAGAAACTTGGGCTACTTCTGCTTACTCCAGCAGAGGAGCCTGGCCCAGACCACAGCCGGTGACTCTGGTGCCATCATCAGCAGGCTTCAGCAAGTCTGCTGATGCCTTTCCTGGAGTCCCCTCTCCCTTTCCCCCTTCTGTGTTGGGTGTGCCTCTGCCAGGGCTGCTGAAACCCTGGGCTTGGACACTGGCCAGCCACAGCGACCGTGCTTATTGGGGCACTGATTCAGGGCTGCTTCTGCAGAGAGATCCAACTTCCAGCTAAGCAGGCCAGCTCCTTGGTTAACTTTTTTGTGCTTTGTAAACTACAGATGAAGTTGAAAGAGGAAAAGGAGAGACAGGAGAAAGAAGAGGCTGAAAAAGAACGGGATGTGTTAATGGAAAAAGACCGCATCCACCTGGAAATGGAAAATAACAAAAAACATGGACGGCACGAGGCAAACAGAGAAGTACAGAAAATTCAGCTCCAGCAAATGGTAAATAGAAAGCTGTACCTTGTCAATCCCTTCAGAAAGAAGCTTGCAGCTAAACCAATACACTAGTTCCTGCTGAGAGAAAGAGAGGAAGTTTGCTGTTTTGTTTGGATTTTATTGTTTCATGGGTTGTTTTTAATCATATGTTTTCGGCATATGCTGGTGCTGGAGACCAGCATTCTCAGAGCATTGTCAAGGCTGGTTTGCAAGGACAGATCACATCCTGTCCTGTGCCATTAAGACATTTTTTCAACCATGCACTGCCGTGCTCTTGTATCTTCTGGGCAGGTCACCAGAGAGCAGCAGCTAATGCTGATGTTCACTCAGCTATTTAATGTACCCTTTCTGGGTAGATAAGGCAGGGCAGAGAAGTGGAGAGGGATGCTAAGTGCCATGTGTCAGCTAAGGATGCCATAGACCTTCTGTAAGCTTTTACCCTCTCTCAGCTTTACAGGATGGTGATGTTGAGAAGAAAATACTAAGCTTTGTTATTCCTTTTTCTTCATCAGGCTGAAAAGCAGGCAAGAAAAGAGCAGGAAAAGCAAGCAGAATTGGACTACAGTGCTCAGAGAGAGGCTATTGCACTTTCTAAAGAGCAAGAATTTCAGAAATATGCAAAGGAAATAATTGAAACAGAATCCAAGAAGACACATCATCTTTATCCTCTTCTCAAAGCATGGGAAGAAGGAAGAAGACTTGGATGTGGGCCATTTTTCTGAGAGAAGAAGAAATAAATACTACTTTCCAAATATATAATTCTATGTTAGGGCCCAGTTACCTTGCTGTAGCTGTATTGCTGCTCAAAAAACAAAAATATAAAATAATGTTTAAACTGTCCACCAAGGAAAGGCAGAGGCATTTTCAAGTTACATAAATATGCTTTTCAACCATACAGGCAGTGTTCAACTGTAAATTATTTATATCAAATATATACCATGAATCTGGACTTCCATTTGAAAAAATACAAGATTGCCATATGACTGGTTATGTTCAAACATCCCCAGCTTGTATTTCATTAGTTAGTTTATTAAACTTGAGACAGGAATTCATATTATATAATTGACTGTCACTGTTACCAATTCCAGCCAAAAGCTCACTATTTGTTATATTTTTAATATTCATTTTCTAAAAATTCACTGTCCCAGGTTTTTCAGGTCTTTCAGGTCTATGATTTGAATTCTCAGAGCTAAAAGTCACATTTTCCCCTAGTCTACTTCCAGTTAATTACTCCCCACAATAGAAAAGACCAAATAAAAACAGTTACAGGGGACAAAAAAAAAGAGAACAAGTGAAAGTTAGAACTTAGGGTGTGCAGTTTTGGTAGCATTTTGCAACTGTGTTTGAAAAACAAATGTCATGCTATAAATCAGTTTTATTACATAAAAATGTTAATGTAATTTGATCCCAGCCCTTCAAAGGTCACCAAAGAGGCAAATAGGTCCCAATACAGCTGCAAATAGGGCCTACAAAATCAGCACATCAACAAGAGACAACATGGTGTTCTTTCAAAAATACTAACAGCAGTTCAGTCTGTAAATAGATACAATCTATTAAATAGGTAAATAGATGTGATCTAAAATTGTATCTCAGATTCCTCAGCAGATTTACTTACCAACACCCACGGCACAGACACGTCTCCCTCCTTAAGCTTAGGTTTCTTTAATTTCCTTGCCTTGGAAGTTAGGGGTTCCTGTAATGACTTCCTGCACCAGTACCCTGGGCTTTAAACAGGGTATCCTCTATCCTGGTGTCCGCTGGAAGCAAAGTCCAAGAAACTCTGCTTTGCTTTGCTGCACCCCACAGCTGCCAGTCTCTGCTGGTCAGATCAGAAAATAATACAAGTCCTCCTTAAAAAAAAAAAAAAAAAAAAAAAAAAGAAAGGACACTTGCCAATATTTTAGTTTTTGAATGTGGGTCTTTGGTGTGTCCTCAAGTTCCTTAGCCCAGCTACCGAAAGCAGGCAGGCCTCGGAAAGAGCACAGGGCTCCGAGGAAGATGTGAGGCTATCCCGGAGGCAAGTTCCCTCTCGGGAGCCGAGGGCCAAGCAGGGCTGGCTTCACCTCCCTACACCGTACAAACGCTGGGTGTAAGGCGGGTGCTGTCCTTCCCGGGTGCAGCAGTCACCTCTTCGAGGAGTCTCTTCCAGGCAAGACAAGGGATGAATTCCTGGAAGGAGAAGGAGGCCTGACCTCCTCATCCAGCTCCCAGGGCCGCCAAGGGCTCTGGGCCCCGGCAACAGGCAGGCCTGGCGGGGCAAGGTTCTCCGGCAGCGCACGGAGCCAGGCCGAGCGCCACGGCCCGGCCCGGCCAGCCGGCGGCAGCAGCAGGACGGAGGGGCCATTTCAACCTCTTACCGGGTACGGGCGCTCCGCAGGCAAACGAGATGTCCAGGAATCGGCTGCGGAGGAGGGTCCGGCCCCGGGGCTGGGGGGTGGCTCGCTTCTCCCCTCCCTCCGCGAGTGACGGGCCGGACGCGGCTCGCCGGCAGCTCCCGGGGCGGGCGGGGCTGGGCGGGGCGGGGCCCGGCGCCGCTCCGTCTCTCGCGGCACAGCGCCCGCCTCCCGCTCGGCGCCAGAACCCTCCTGCGGCCACCGCCTTTGAGCGGGGTGAGACAAAGAGCCCCGATTGCCCGGGAAGCAGAGCCGTCGGTGAGCATCTCTTCTTCTCCTCCGGCAGACGTCCCGTCTCCACAGAGGCGGCGAAGAAGGCCGGCGATGGACCGCGATGGGCCGGACGCCGCTGGGCAGGAGGCAGCGGTGGAGCGTGGCCGCTACCTGAGCCGCCGGGCCGTGGCGCAGGAGCAGCTGGCGCAGTGAGTCCGGCGGCGGGGCCCGGGAGTGGGACCCGCGGGTTTGGGTTAAAAACCTTTCCGTGGCAAGCCCGGCCCGGGCGGTCCCGGCTGCACGGCCCGCCGAAAGGGGCGGCTCTTGGGCGCTAACCCGTGTTCCGTGCCCGGGCCTCCATCACTCACTGCTTTTGAGCAAGGGTTTCAGATCATCCTCGCCTCGTGGTCAGAGGGACCTTCCCCCCAATCTCCATAATTCTGTTCTCCAGCTTCAGAAGCGTCTCTTGCTGTCAGGGGTTGTGTCTCTCCTAACACATCCAATAAGACTGGCTTAATTCTGGCACCGAGAGCAACTGGCTTGGCTCACTATTGCTGCTTCTCCCCACCTAGAAGCTGTCACACATCCAGCTGGCATGTCTTGCACAGTGCTGTGGCACTGCTTAGAAGACTGCTTGCTGGAAAAGGCCGAGACTGTACAGGGAGTGGGATAACAATGAAACAGGCAAATCAAATTCAGTCTAACATTTGAGTCCATACATTGTTCATGTTCACTTTCACTGGTATAGACTTCCCTAGCACCCTCAGACTAGAACTGAGCTTTGGCCATAGAATTCGGAGCTAGCTTATTGAAACTTTTTCTGGTTTTGATCACTGATATTTTACTTCAAAGTATCAGGTAAAGTACCCAAAAATGTGCGTAATCTGTATCCGTTCATTATTACTTCATGCTGTCCCTAGTTGATTTAATAACTTCCCTTTTCTGATTCAGAATAAAGGAGCACAAGGATCAAGCAGATCTGGCTAAGCTGGAAAAGAGAAGGGAAGGGGAACAAATACAGAGATCAAGCCAATTGTACCAAATGGAAATTCAGAGAGATAAAGAAAAGGAACAGGAGAAAAAAATTGAATTCCAGAGGCAGCATCATGTAAGTAGCAGGAAAACAGACAGTTCAAAATACATATTTCATCTTGACTGTGATGGTTGGACTTGGCCCAGAAATAAACAGGACTGTGGGTAACAGGGTCTTTGCTGACAGCTTTAGTAGCCTGGGATCAAATGCTTACCCTACCAAATGCAGGCCATCTGTTTTCTCTGTGCTTTTGAGAAAGACCTCTTGAAAGTTTTAATGTGGCACCTGAACTTGAACTGGTCTACAATGGAAAAGGCTGCTAGAGTCAGCACGGAGATTGTCCTTGACTTGAGAACTGGATTTAGGTTCCATGTACTTGCTCTATTTTAAGTTCATTTTAATTTGTTAGGGAGAGGGAATAGCCTGAATGTGACAATATCTTATAAACTTGGTGATGACCAAGTTTATTTACCACACGTACTGTTTCCCTGCCAATAGCTGCTTGAGCAGGGAAACTGAAGTAGAGGTACTGTGACGATTCATTACCATGTGAGGGAGTAAAAGGAGAGAATTCCCACTAAAACCCTACTTGCTTTTTTTCCTTCCATACTCCTCATGGCAAGTACACAAATGTTCCCCCATTTCCCCCCAGCCTTGTATGTGCAACAAGTGCCATTTCTGAGTCATTACAAAATGCCTTAGGCTCTACATTTTGATGGTTCTACAGACTTAGTGTTTGAGCCCTTCAGAGTCTGCACCATATGAATGACACACAGGATGGTAATAGTACAGTTGGAGCCGCTGGGGAGGTAGAGGAGAGAATGTAGAGATGCTGTAAGCCTGGAGTTGCAACCACGTAATAATTTTACTTTGTGATTTGTGATAAGTAGATAATAAAAATTTACGTTTATCTATGCGTTTCTATTTTCTGTAGCTTCTCCACTGATGTAAAGAAATCCATGTTACAGGCTAGGCCTGAAGTATTTTCTAGAATTGTTTTTAGTTCATGTTTCCAAAATATACTTCTACATGAAAATAAGCTTAGTTTTCCATTTAAACAGGAGCACATAGCTGAACAGAAAATATTTAAAGCTGAAGACAAACAAAAAGAAGACAAAGATGATGATCGGATTAAGGCTTATATTAAAGAAAAAGAAATGATGGCTGATCTGACAAGAGAAAAAAATTTGGAGACTAACAGGTGGGTCCAGGGATAATTTGCAGTGTTAAGATTCAGGCTTGTAGTTTCATTTTGTGACAAATACTATTCTCAGCTGTTATATCAGCAAGATCAGAACTTTGATGCAAGCAAGTCTTCTGTAATTAAAGCTTGAAGTAGAAAGTGCAGAAAAAATGCCTACCAGTTCCAGTAGTAATTGGTGTTGTTGGGGTGGAGGTAGAATGGCTGGTGTTATTAGAAGCAAAAGGTACCAATTGCCTCTGGTGATCTGAGCGGTTCTGGGATGTTACAGTAGCTCATGTTCTCCTGCAGGATGATAGAGAAGCATAAGGACAAAGCTTTTGAACAATTAACTGCACAGATGAATGAGAAATTTAAGATTGAAGATGATCATCTTGCTAGAGGAGCTGCAGAGGTAGAAGTTGAGTACCAAATGCAAAACAAAGAGAAAGAAATGAAAAAAAAGGCTGCTCTTGAATCTATTGAAGCAAACAGAGTCGCTGTGGTAAGAAATGGGGGCTGTCCTTGTTCCTCTTTCTGTCATATACTTCTACATTTTTAGAATATAGAAATGTCATTGATTTTAGCATCATCTGGAGTGAGACACACATGCAGGTTCTCACCAGTTGCCTTTCATTTATCATTTAGATTTAGAGCTAAATCCTTAAGAAAGGTGCAAGCAGTATATGTGGTGATCCTCTCTTCAAAAAAATTAGACTGGGAAGGCTCTGTAATTGTTTATAATTTGTGCAAACTCTGCACTGCTTACTCCAGCAGAGGAGCCTGGCCCAGACCACAGCCGGTGACTCTGGTGCCATCATCAGCAGGCTTCGGCAAGTCTGCTGATGCCTTTCCTGGAGTCCCCTCTCCCTTTCCCCCTTCTGTGTTGGGTGTGCCTCTGCCAGGGCTGCTGAAACCCTGGGCTTGGACACTGGCCAGCCACAGCGACCGTGCTTATTGGGGCACTGATTCAGGGCTGCTTCTGCAGAGAGATCCAACTTCCAGCTAAGCAGGCCAGCTCCTTGGTTAACTTTTGTGTGCTTTGTAAACTACAGATGAAGTTGAAAGAGGAAATGAAGAGAGATAAAAAAGAAGAGGATGAGAAGGATCGTAACCAGTGGATGACAGAAAACGATGTCTACTTGGAAATGGAAAAAGCCAAGAAACAAAGACAGCGTGATGCAAACATGGAAGTACAGAAATTTCAGCTCCAGCAAATGGTAAATAGAAGAACTGTATCCTGTCAACCCCTTCAGAAAGAGACACACCTCTAAACCCATAGTACTAGACCTCTTAGGCAGAAGAGGAGAGGGAGAGGTTGCTGTGGGTGTCATGTACATATTTGGTTTGGTTTGGTTTTTACCTGTGTCCACTACAGCTGCTGATGTTGGAGAGGTGACTGACTTATCTGTGGGCCACAGGAGGTTTGTTTGTGCAGTGAGAAGGTTACTGCTGAAAACTTGACAATGCACGATACACCAAAATTTTATGGGCCTCCTCTTAGAGAGTAGAACAGAAGCCTCTTCCAGGCGGATTTGGCCCATGTGAGTCAGGGAGGATTTCTGTGAGGGCTGGTAATAAGAGATCAATAATGACAGATCACCTCCTGTCCTGTGCCATTAAGACATTTTTTCAACCATGCACTGCTGCCCTCTTGTATCTTCTGGGCAGGTCACCAGAGAGCAGCAGCTAATGCTGATGTTCACTCAGCTATTTAATGTACCCTTTCTGGGGAGATAAGGCAGGGCAGAGAAGTGGAGAGGGATGCTAAGTGCCATGTGTCAGCTAAGGATGCCATAGACCTTCTTGTAAGCTTTTACCCTCTCAGCTTTACAGGATGGTGATGTTGAGAACCAAATACTAAGCTTTGTTATTCCCTTTTCTTCATCAGGCTGAAAAGCAGGCAAGAAAAGAGCAGGAAAAGCAAGCAGAATTGGACTACAATGCTCAGAGGGAGGCTGCTTTTCATCAGGATCGAGCATTTTGGAGATAAAGACAGTGAGTAACTGAATCAGTGCCATTACTGGATGTAACTTCTATTCTCTCCAAACATTCAAGGAAGGAACAAGATGTGGGCTTCCTAAGTAGGACAACTGCAAGAATGGTGGAGTGGATAATCTGCAATATTAAAAACAGTAAAAACGGGGGAGTGGGTGGATAAAGATGGTTGATGCAATGCCTTCCTGCCTTGTACATGAGCCCCCAGCTTGCTTGGCATTTTGCCATGACTTTTGGGGCCTGCTTTGGCCCTCAAAGCTCTGCCTGAGGGCAGGGCCAAGAACTTCTCAGGGCCAGCATAGACTGCTACTGTCTTGGTCAGTCCTGCTGTGGTCTGGGCTGCTGCATTCTATTTGGATAGAAGAACATGGCTGGGTGGAGCTGACTGAATCTTTATCTATGTCAATTAGCATGGCCCATTAATCTGTAGTGTGAACCAAAGTACAGTAAGTAGAAACAATGAAGACTAATTTCAAAACCTCACTTCTGACCTAATGTAAGAGACTAACATTGCTGCACTATCAACTAAAAGTCACACAGAGTTCTCTCCAATTATCTTGGAGTAATTACTTTTGAAAATTACATATTACAAAAAGAGACATGGCAATTAACTTGTGAAATTGTCCCTCAGTACTTTTTTCCTTCGGTCACTAATGGAAAATTTATTTCCCTTCTCTCTGAGCCAGTGTTCATTTTATTACATCCAGCTTTTTTTCAGCAAGCAGAAAGAATGGAAACTTTTATAAAAGCCTTTTGATGGCAGAAGCTGGAGCCTTAAGAAGTACTGACTACAGCAGGAGTGGTGCTGAAACCCGCAGAGCTCGATAATGCTCCAAATGCATCCCTAAGTGCAAATTTGCACATGCTCACTACTATGCAATTGGTGAGTTAAGTGGGTTTTTAGTCTACTTCCACAGCAGCAAGAAACAAGATGGATGCAGCCTCATTTCCTACTCAACTTCCAAAAATGTCCTTTTCTGCAGATTACGTATGTCTGCATTTGAAGTCTACAGCCTTCCTCCATCAGGCTTCTACTCCTTTTACTTTGAACATCTACAGAAAACCATCAAACTCCAGTACCAGAAAACAACTCTTTATTTCAGTACATCTAGAATAAAGTGGGAATTTAGTGTAATTTTAAAGCATGTTGGCTAAACATAGATTTAGTTACCCAAATTCAGCATGAAAAAAATCTAGCAGCAGTCATGACTGCCTCTGAGATGCACATGCTTTGTATATTTGTTTTAAATAAATAATTCTAGTTAGTAATTTTCTGTAAAACCTCTGTAAAGCATAGTATGATGACACTAGATTAGAATGGCCAGAGGTGGTGGAATGTTGCTGGTTAAAAGGTATCCTGTGTAAGGCAGGAGGCTGGTTCAGCTGCTCACCAGAGTCCTTTTCAGCTGCCATTTAAAGATAGGGAGATTAAAATACAGGGAGATGAACTGCAGCTGGCAGGAAAGGAAATTGTTGACCTGGAAGCATCTACTCATTGAGAGGTACCTCTCATTTAATGCCTAGGGCCACTCTTGTGTTAGTTAATAGCTGGAATCATCATTCCCAAAGTTATTTAGATATGTACATGGTACCTAGGGACATGGATTAGCTAGTGTTGGACTTCAGTACTGGGTTAACAGCTGAACTTGACCTTAAAGGTCTCCTCCAATCTAAATTATTCTGTAAAGTTTTAATTAATAGCTAGAAAATCAGAAAATGCTTTGAGAAATAATTTGACTAACTTTAATTATTGTTTTTCTCAAAAATGCATCCTCTCAGATATTCTTCTGCTTCAGGACATTGCAGCAGGTGAGAATCATAATAGGTATTAGCCTTATTTGAAGACCAAGACCTTAGAAATGCAAGGCAGCTCTCAGAGGGACTGAAATGGAGACCTTAAATCCAACTGCGTTTTTTCCACACTTGTGATCCAATTCTGGAAACAGAACAGCAATTTTAGTTTGAACATGTAGGCCTCCAGTGTGTAACATGGTACTCTCCCAACAGTATTGCAACTCACACCTGTGTGGTGGTACATGTGTAAGAGGGTACTGTTCTCATGGATCTAATACAACTCCTACCTAGGAAATGGAAGAGAACAGATCTCTAAAATGCCTTATATCCTAAGGGAATTTGAATTAAATAACTGTGCAGCTCTTTACTGTTAGGTAGTGTTCCAGGCTGGAGTTACTACATCTGTGCAAGTTCTTCTAGCATGAGTCTTTGCTACCAGTTAGCTCTGAGGAAGTTTGAAGAGGATACATACCTGGAAACAAATGGCCCATGAACAGAAGAGTTGGCACCATGGGACTGTTAAGGGTGAACATTTTCACATCCCAATGCAGACTTGCTCTATACTTCTGAAAAAGAAAAAATATTTTCAAAGCTTCCTTGTAATGTTAGGTCAAGTCTGTTTCAACAGCTAAATTCTTTCAAATGTCTGTTAACTTAGGCCTTCCTGTTATCTCTTGAATGGAAGAGTGCTGTAACTAGTCTGTAATCTTCCTCCTTGTTCTGGCAGTGCATCCTTGTTTCTGATACTGACCTTCCTTCCTGTTCTGGCAGTGTAAAAACTGCAAACTACAATTTTTGAGAGACAGAACATTTACTACCTCTAAATAGCATGCAAAAATCCCCATAATCCAAAATCCCCATCAAGGACTAGAAAGAAAAAGCAACACGTACTGAAAATAAGCATGTATTACTGAGCAGACCAAGAAAAATACAACAACTGGCACAGTGAACAAGGGCAAAGTTTTGGGACTATCTTTGGTAGAGCTTTTAAGTATTTCTGCATTAGTTTCAGCTACAATCTATCAGTGCATATACAGTTAATATAAGCTACTAATTATACACTTAAGCAGTTTCTTTTTTTTCTTTAGAAATATATTTTACCACTAGAAAAGTATCTACAAAGGAGTAAGAAGCTAGCCACTCTCCAAGTTCTGTGTGCCTGCAACACCAATCAGTGCCCAACAGCAGAAGCTAACTGTGGACCAAGTTACAAGACATGCTATTCTAGAACCTGCCTATAACTCAAGCTCAAGAAACAAGTGCCATAGCTTGCAACTGTACTGTAACTACTTTTATTATGGAACAAAGCAGTACATTCTTTTCAGAAAGTCAAGAGGTAACAACCAAAGGTAAACTATCAATTCATCTGTACTGTACTCCTTGAATATTGCTGGGGCTCCAGGCTTAACTCAAACCTTCTGTTTTGACTTGGGGAAAAAAAAATCTTACTGAACAAATAAAATTGGGTACATCTGTCTCAATAAAATCCATGTTGACCATACCTTTTATTTGTGACAGTTTTCTACTTTTATTTTGGAGAATGCAACAGAAGATAGAAATAGAACCTTGAGAAGTTGTGGCATTGGCTGAGTCTTTTAATCCTTAATGGGAAATGTCTGCAGCAAGATTGTATCTAGCACTCCAGCTACTCTGACTACAGGAAATTGGAAGTCACTTTCCTGTTGTCTCCTAAGCACTCTGCTGCCAACCAGCCAGGCTGTGATACTGCTGTAGGTGACTTTTTGATTGAAAGGTGTTTTTTCACTTTGAAAGGTGTTAGTTCTAAACTGACTCTGTGTTCATTCAATTTACATTCATATTGAACAGATAGTTCTTCTGTAACTAGTGAAAACTATTCTGCTTCACATTCAGACACACACACAAACACTAGTATTTTTTCAAGTAAAAGCCCATAGTTGGCAACAAGCAGAGTTTGCAGTTGGACACTAGATCATCTTCATTTCATAGCTGCGTTTTTATATGTTATAATATAGACATATTAGACTGTCATTTGCCATTCAGTCACAGAAATCCTTAATTGCACCTACTATTTGACACTATCATCTAATGTAACATGGAATAAAAATCTAACTTCACATCTTCAGTAAAAACTTAATTGATCTTGGTTTAACTGAGGAGGTAATAGCATGAGATCAAATCACTCTGCCCTGTAAATCTGTATGCAAAGTATCAGCACATCAGAAGGCTGGAGGCTGGCCAAGCACATTCACCCTGAGATGAGCTCACTTGATCAGAGCATGGTGCTAATAACACTGAGCTCATGGGTTTGATCTTGTATGGCTGAATCACTTAACAGCTGACCTGATGATTCTTGTCAGAGGGTCCTCTTGACCTGAGGACCCTTCCAGCTTGGAATATTCTGTGAATTTACAAGCACAGGTTGCACAATATGACTTGGAAACTATTATTTCTCTAAATGCAGAAGATGCTAATAGTGCAAGAAGCACATGTGGCAGAGGTGGAATACACTAACAAATAAGCAAAAAAAGCATTTCTTTCTAGTACACAACTTGTACATTTCATATCAAGAATTCATGCTCCCAGCTTACAACTAAATACTCTTCCCTGTTACGAACTACAAATTACAAAATGTCCAAAAGACTACGATTAATTACAAACTACTTTGCTAAATTCTATATGCACAAGACTGCTGGCACAATAAACAATTATTTTAGCTGAAAGAACCCAGTTATCAGCTAGTTCCTCTTATCATTGTTCAGAATTTAATATGCCTAAATTCTTTCCAGTCCTTTCAACCGCTCTTTCCAATAGCAGCTATGGCTAAAGCAACATAGAGACTGCTTTTTATAAGGGGGATATGTAGCCATGTCTAACTTCCTGCCACAAACAGCAAGTCTCCTTAACTGCTTTACATATTGCAAAATTTAAATTCAAAATCAGGGTGCTGCATTAATTCAGCTTATTTAGTCCCTTTAATGCTTTAGAACTTCCATGAGTAAAAATACAAATTTTAAACCAATCATATGCATATTTAGCAGTTCAAGATTTCTCCTATGATCTTATGCATGTTAACTGCCCTATTAGTTTTATTTGAACAATGACTGTATGATTAAGGAAAGATACTAATTTACTAGTATTTTTACAACTATACCTGTACCTTTATGTAGTTTTACTGTCTACACTCATCACTTTTTAAATAGTTTATTACTGCTATTCCTTTTGTGAAATTGCATACTAATACTAGAAAACTTACTTTCATGTGATAATTAAAAACAAACAAACAGGTGAACATTACTTTTGGCCTTTATATAACAAAGTTTTGTTGAAACAGTCTTCCTAATGACATGAATTGTTCAAGGGTGGAAAGTATGAATAAAACTAGAAGTACATAAGCATCAAAATGGAAAGCTAATGTTTTCTGCTAGGTAACTGCAAAACTAGTAAATTCAAATTTTGCAAAATGCAGTTCACAGACTTTTTGATACCCATTTTCTTTAATAATTTATGCTGCATTATGAAAATTACTATTTTCAGCAAAGGGAAGGTACATAACAGTTCTTTACATTTCCATTACATTGACTCTAGAAGTGTGGCCAACCTTGCCCCCCTCCCCGCAAAAAAAAGAAACCTTCAAAACACCAAAACAAAATTAATAACCCCCTAAAAAGAACACTTTCATGGCTGCTGCTTTTATAATAGTATGTATATCTTTAGGTTTTCTATTTTAAGGAAAGTCCTAAAAGCAGGAATATACATTTTTGCTTATCAGAAAAACAATGAGTCTACCATACCCCCAGAGGTGTTTCCAAAAATACTTTATTTGCTTCAATAAATCAACAGTTCCAGAAAAGGCAGCTAAAGGACCGCTTCTTTTGTTTACATTAACCTAAAATCCATTTACCAGGCTGACACTATTACAAATCAGACATTATTGGGGTTCACTGCAAATTCTTCAATGCATCTGACAAAGAACACTGCAACAAAAGCCTGTAGCCTGGGATTTCAAGTACAAAATGCAAAGTTTCAGGCTAAAATTCTAACAACAAAAATAGAACAAAGCATTAAAATGTAACCATTGCCTTTTTCTTTCTTAAAAACAACCAACTGAAACAAACAACAACTGAAACACTATGGTCGTGTTAAAGAATTAGCAGACAGCAACACATTTTTTACAGGTAATAGTGTCTACATAACTGTGTGTTCTATCTATCCACCCTCAGCAAGAATTTCTGCTTCTGAGTTGATGGCAGTACCCAGAGAATCCAGCATAAACTAAGTGTCTTTCTAATAAAGTTTGGAAAGCCACTGTCAATTATGAATTCAGCATTCCAGGTATCTATATGTTACATGGTATTAGTAAAATCTCAGCATCTATTGTGGATACAAAAGAGAAAGCATGTCTAACCTTTGGAAGTTATTTCAAGCCTGTATGAACACTTAAACATACACTTACAAATTTATTCCAGTAATCCCTGCCCTCACTTTACATTGTGTATGGGTGTTCACTAATTCCCTGGAATAACGTCAGTTCTGGGGTAGCAGCAGAAAAAGCTGCACTCTACTACTTTTTTCCCCACAGTCACAACAAAGGATCATGAGCATTGTTTTTACTGCCTCCGGAATACTTAAATTCTTCCAAACCAGTCCTTTGAGCCAAAAGCCACCTGACACAGATGTCAAAGCGCCACTGAGCTATACTGTGACTACAGCACAAGGTGGCTACTGTGAGGCCAGGAACAGGAAAGCTCTGTCACTGAGGGACTAAACACATTCAGTACTGCAAAAGCAAGTCAGTGCCTCCTGCCAAGGCAGCAAGAACTGACTAGTGCTTGGGGACATCTAGCTGTCCCTGGGATTGCGCTTTAGTCCCACCAAGTTCTTGATCAACATTCTCAATTTCCACTTTGATAAAGAAAAGCACAAATCTAGCAAACCTTCCCTTGTATAATACTGCAGTTGTGTTTCTGTTTCAACAAAGTGCTTAGCACTAAACCAATTTACCACCAAAGACAACACAGGCTACTGTATCCCACCACCTGCAATTTAGTGTAGCCAGCTTTAAAAAAAAAACCCAAGTACATTTAAAAAAAAAAGAAAATAGGCTTTGTGCCACCAACTCAGATGACTTTTTAATGTGCTATGAAAGAATTAAAGTCAATTTAAGTTGCAAATTTTCTGAACTGTAACAAAGTCCATACAAAAGGGTATGCAAGCGCATATTTTAAAATAAGTAGCTACAACTGCAAACTACAATTGGATTTAATATCCATTTTGAGATTTTAAACTAAACACAATTAAAAAAAAATATATTCTATTGACTGCTGTATTGCTGACTGCCTGTATTTTCCTCCCTTCAGCAGAGTCAGTATAGTTGTGGATTGTTTTGTTTACATGCTTATACAGCTTCAGTGATATTGGCAAAAATATTCTCAGTAGTGCAAATAAATGTCTTCAGCAATATCTTGCTCATGTGTCAGCTCTATTTAAAATAATGAAACAACATTGCAAACAGTTTTTAAATGAGACTCTGAAGCACATGGCATGCATAGCACAGTATAAATGCATGATTAAGCTGCCACAAAATTTTCTGAAGCCTAACTTCCTACCTTTACTCTTAATACAGTCCCCCAAAGTAGGACTACAACTTCTCCAAAGTCCTACAAAGTTCAGAAATCCACTATATAGGTCTTTGGTTTACTCTTCTGAGTTCTCTTAAGTAACTGCTGTGTCATCCACCCACATGTAGACCAGGAACATTTTTAAACCTTCTGCATAAAATGACCACTGAAATGCAATATTCATAGAAGGTGTTTCTAAAACAGTAAAAAAAAGCACTTGACAAACAAAGCAGCTCCACTAACTATTCTGTTAAGTCACTCTACACACTTCCAGTTTTCTTCCTTTAAAAACATTGCTATGTTGCTCACAATCCTAGGTTTTATTTTGCTTTCAAGACACAACAATTTTTCTTTAGAATAACAGCTGCCTGAATCACAACTGTCAAGCAAGCTTTGGCATTTCTCCTAATCTGCTGTAAACAAACGCTGATCACAAAGTCAAAATGTTAACAAACTCATTACCAAGACATTAAAACCAAGTTGTTTCGTCTAGTGAAAGATTTGGCAAAAATTTCAACGATTACAATATTGTTTTGCTTTGACACAGGTTAAGATTATGCTTCTCACTTCCCTTTACGACTTTCAAGGTCTGCCAGTCTTAGATGTGAATAGTTTCATGGACTGAAAGGAGTGCTGGGGTTTGTACCAAATCTATCCTTTCAGACCACTGCACCGAGTCACCACAGACCAGCTGCTCTTTGGGGATTGCACATATGGGGGCACTGCTGCAGCAGCACAAGCCAAACTCCTTCTCTTCCACGTGAAGGCGTGGTGGTGAAATACAAACTGGGGTGGGACCTAGAGGCAGGAGAGGAAAGCAGAAAAGGGAGGGAATTGGTTTGAGGGACATAGTAGAGAATGAGAAGGAATTCACAGTTACATTCTTTAGAATGAGAAACAA